ATTGACGGACCAGTTCCTTGTTCATAATTTGCTTCCTGTTCTGCTGTAGGTGACCACAGTCTGCATACCTGTTTTTGGTTGATTTTCCGATTCTTTTATTTATTCTTTCTCCAGTACGTATTATTCTGTTCAATATTTTTATTCATTATAATGTCTCATTACCAAACGTAGAAAATGACTTTGTAAACTCTACTTCAGTAGAGGTGGATTCTTTAGTTACTACCAAAGTTAGGTCATCTGGACTTGAGCCCTGCACAAATTCGCGAGACACTGAACAGGTTAGCTTGTCCTACAGGTTCTAGTCTTTCAGATCTGTAAAGCTACTTCTCACTGAATTATCACTTATATACTTCACAATAATTTTTATTTAACTGCTATTATGCTCAGTTTTATCTTAACTACATAGGCCTTTAGTAAAACTAAAAGCTACCCATTTTATTCATATTCTTTGCTCGCTTAAATTCTGGTCGCTCTGATGAAAAAGAACATAACAACAACACAAACGATTCAACAAAGCTATATTTTCATTGAAAATGTCATAGTTTCCATAGCCAGACCAATAGGTTAGCATTATACATTGTAAATGTATATTACCATTTAAAGGACTCTATGGTTCCTTCTCGTATTTATTTTTCAAATATACTTCCAATGATGTATGATCCACAATTGCAATTTATACCATTTTCAGCTTCCCAGGAAGTTCTCCCCCTCCTAAAATATCCTTTAATCACGTGTGATAGCAATTACCCAAATATATGTTGTTCATTGGTTGACCATAACTATCATCAGTCGATGGAACTAAGTTTGGGCTGGCACTCAACCCTGATGGTGACCTTAGCGACGGATTTACAATTTAACATCCACACGAACCTGTTCAACAATTTAGACCTTTGAAAACTGCTGATTTAATGGTATTTCACGATTGCAATTTATAACATAAGTGATCATGTCTGTAAAAATGGCTTGCATTTCATGTAAACTTACCCGTTTATACGGAATATACATTATTTTTATAAATTATTATCACTCATCATCCGAAGCTATATACATGGTTGAATCAGATCCACTGAGGATAGTGAGGTTCTCAATCCTTTTGCACTGCAGAATTCCTAGGTGCATGCATGGAGGATCATGGAGCTCTGCGGTTGAGGGAGCGCAATCAGTCCTTGAATCCACCATGGACTTGGATATGCTTGCTCTCTCTTAATTGTCTTCACGTATTTATCTCAATCTGCTATATAACATTTCTACGTTTTTTGTGTAAGTCATAATCTCATCGATTTATCTGAAAAAATTAAGTATCTTTTACAATAGTTTTTACAATCTCGTATTGCTCCGGCCTCTTCGTCCTTCACTAGCGAAGAATTGATATCTCCTAAATTCAATTTTGTCGATATATCCTAAAAAATGATAATAAGTGTATGTTGCAGTGGTTAAATTATTTGAGCTTTTTGGTTTGTTCGTGAAGCTTTCAGTGACTTTCTATACAGCATACTCAAGGGGGACTTCAGTACGAAGTGAGATTTAAGGATTCTCTGTGAGTTTGACAGTTGTCTCTCCTGGTGACTTTTTACAGTGCTCAATTGATTCTGGAGCCACCTATACCCTTTTACCCACCTGTATTGGCGTGACTATTTTGTAAACGTGACAGTCGACCTTTTCCCAGCATCAATTCCTCCTTAGCTGTATCTGCACCAAAGTGTCTTCCAATTGCAGATTAGTCTGGGCCCCATGCTCATAGAAAATCCTTGGGACTCTAGGTATTTCCTTTGTCTAAGTTTCATACGTTTTACCAGTCAAAATGATGTCTATAGTCATGTGTAAGCAATGATTTGAGGGAATGAATATCACGACTTTTCAATAGTATTTTATGCCCCCGGATGCGATGACGAAGAAGGCGTCCATTTCGACCAGTATAACGTTCTTAGCAGTTGTTTAGATGATGCTGCTTCAGCCTTACTTCGTCGCTGCCATTTCTGGCTTACATAGTACAGACCAAAGTGATTACGTCGGTTTGCAGGCGATATCTATTCCAGAAAATTTCAACAGTCTTTCACGGATTTGACAGATGTTTGCCATATATAGTAACACTTTTGGAAACTAGTCGGGCTGCTTAGAAGTATTCGAACCCGTCTGCGATCGGCTTCAACTGGAAATAACACTGTAGATTGCTGTGTGGCTATTCATCCTATTATCCCTGAGCTATGGCTACATTACTTTCCAACTACTTAGCCTGGCCCATAAAACCTAGTGGCCAGGCTGTTCCTAACACAAACTTGATCGTGCCTGTAGAAATGGCATGCATTTTCATGTAAATTTATGTTTATATGAAAATATACATTATTATTATTACAAACTAGTGAAGGGAGGATGCAACATTTACGGCTGCCAAAGGTGTATTTATTAGCGACGATGTGAAGAGAGCACAGGAATACACTATCGCAACGCAACGTAGTCATTGAGCCCTTGTCGCTTGAAAATTAAGTAGTCCACCCCGTGTTTCAATCTGCAAGCGTAAACAGACTGATCGGTGAAGGTTCGACCAGTATAACGAACTTCTTTGATCCCCTACAACACGATAATTTGGGTACTTTGACTGAGTGATTTTGAGTTAGTGGGTTTGGCTGAGGGTAGGTTTATTTTGACGAAGTTTCATGGACATCCACTTTCCCAGAAGAGAATCACCAGACATTTCTCTTCCATTTTCTCCAAGACAGCGTGCTGCAGTATCCTCTTGTTCCTTGTCTTTGCTAGTGTGTTGAGTATCTGGTGTGAATGCGCTAATCTATATGTTTTAGTTTCTAATTGTCCTGCGCTTGTCTGCCTGACAGAGAAGTCTGAAAATGGAATTTTGTTGTTCAGTTCCCTTTTTCTTTTAAACCCAGTGTGGTCGAAGCCATCGCCGTCTACGTTGTGAGTTTTCCCCAAATCATTTTCTCTCATTATCACGGAAGCGCATTCTTTGTAACGTTTACAAATTTTAGTTTTAATCTAATGCAGATTTACTGTTTCAAGCTTTTGCGTAATAGTTTTAGCAATAAGTTCTGCTCACCACTTAGGAGTCAGCTCGCCATAGTGACAACGCTCGGCTTCCTAAGGCTTTTTACCATAATGGGAACACAAGCTATCCTTACATTGAACTCAGAGTCTTGTGAATGCGTAAGACTGAGGTCTCAACCACATGCCTCACCCCATTGGCACTATATGGAATAGATCATAATCATAGTAGTCTCATGGATCTTTAGAAAGCAAGCGAAAAGGTGATAACCTGCCGATGTATCCAGAATCTTTATTTTGCCTCTGTTATTTACTTCAGTTCCCGATGGGATACGGGTTTTCAGAAGAATACTGTTATTTCACTCCGTTCTCTGCAATCCCCTTTAGGTCGTCTTACCGTTTGACTGCCTTCTTTCGTTGCCTTTTCACATGGACTCCCCCAATCACTCCTTTTCTGGGTTCTACTCAAGGCCTTGACTCACAAAGCCGTCGACTAGTCTCCTCGACATTTAATCGATCCGTCTCCATTCCCTTCAGGATATTTGTTAGGCTATAGTTTGTTCGCTGGTTCCTTGCCAGAGTTTTCCGTGTCTAGTCATATCTAACCATCTAATTTTCAGTTTGGAGCGGAAACGGCTGCTAACAAGAGTCTGTAGCATGCCGTTGAAAGAGCCTCTTGAGATGCTCCAAGTATCTAAACTATGCAGGGGGTTTGACAGTGTCGAAAATCCGAATCTTGTTTCTTATGTAGAATGCAGTATATTCCTAAACTGATTTCAGAGCAGTGAATGCGTGCTTCACTTTTTCCATTTAGTTTTGTCTGGATATAACATCCTTATCCCTGCCAACCATAGTTAAAATGGTGTTACCTAAGCAAGCTGAACAGTTGACTTCCTGAGATTTCTCCTGTTGATGTTGTTCGGTTCTCGATCAGCTATCTCCACCACGTCCGACTTCCCTGTTTTCGTATGAATTCCGCTCTTCTCTCCCTCGTCTACTTGGGTGTTTATATGTGGCAACCACGTGATGATTAAGCCTGTAATATGGAGTGTGGACAACTTATTCAAATCACAGTTTGGCTTGAGAATCTAGTAGAATTCGGCAAAAGGTTAGATAATTTTTTGCAGTCCTCGAAACTGTCAACCGGCCTAACCATAGAGGATAGCTTATTACCCTATTCATTGTGGTCTGTGCTGCGCAACGGCGGAAGGTAACTCAGGTAGTTTATCGAAGCAAAAAATGTAGTGGCAAGGCCATCTTTTATGGTTTGTTGTAATTCAACAGTAGAAAACTTCCTAAATATACAAAAGTGCCCTTCCTAAGTCCTTATGAAACTTACATATGTCCTCACAGAGACGTCACCAATATCATCCCAACTCGAAAAATAAGCTTTTACCTCCAGAAACGGAGCAGAGAAGAACTAATCATTCGATACAAACTGCAACAATAGACTCCGAATGAAACACCTCAGCACATATTACTGTTGCCTAAGGGATGACCTGACCAGTGTTCACAATGTCCAAACAAAGGGAACCCTTTGGATGCATCAACTGCAGTCTTTGCCACCAGACCAACAAGGGAAACTTCAAACGGCGGTTAAGTAATGCTGAAAAAATACTCAGGATAATTTCGGCTACCTGTCAAGCAGACCAAAGTACAATGCAATTACCCCATTCTACACTGCTGATAACAGCCCCGAACTATGCTTGACCTTTCCACCTTTGTAGTTTATACTGTATCTTATTACTCATTATATCTGCTTATTCATGTTCTTAGTATATTTCCCTTCCTCGTTTTTGAAATCACTTTAGTTGCTTTTACACTTATTATCAGCATTATTCGTATCTCGGTATCTTTTACCACAGCGAATTTTTAATGAACGAAACGACTGACAGTGATCACAGTAACCACATGACAAGAAAGCCACTGATTGCACCTGAAGTTATTGAACTTTGAATAAAGTTGAACTTCTGTTTGTTCGCATTACTAAATCTAGCGACACACAATACGAATTTTTTATATGACAGCGGGATGGATGTAAGTGCTTCTGTCGTTTTATATTTAGTTTATTTTCTGGCTGTCTGGAGGTATGACACTTCGAAAATTTTACTTATTTATTATTGTTTGGTTTAACTGTAACTATTCCTCAATGGTCGTAATTCAGCGTGACAGTATAAAAATCAGTCAGATTTCCTCGTATAGTTTATAAAACCAGGCGGAGCACTGGATACAATCTTGTCATTTTTAGCCCAAAGAATTGGTCAGTTATTTCAGGTTTTTCACTCCAGTAACTTGTATCTAGGCGTTTCGCAATCTTGTTTTGACTTTAAGCTCATCGTTAAAATGTTTACATGAGTAAATTTTACGTAATTTTTGTTGTTGTAAAACTCAAGCATTTTGTGGAATTTTTTGCCATGTGTCAGTGTATGGGTTGTTTGGGATAAAGTAACGTTGATTATTTTTCTAACAATATCCCAATTCTCTATCTTCATTTGTAAGTCGTCGATAGAATTTACAGTGGGCACCAGATTCACTTATACAGACTAGTGTTTATGATACCTAGAACATGTATGAGGTCATATTTCATCTGTTTAGATATTTTCAAACCCATTAGCACTCTCTTGTTTGTAACATGTACATTTCTACTAGCAGGTCTGAAAATTCATGTGTATTTAAACTAACTAGAGCTTTTCATTGACTGCATTAGTGTTTCAAGTACTCGCGTTGTATTATTTCTTACCTCAGAAAACTTAAGTCTAATTGTTAATTTGATAAGTCTTCATGCTTATGTTGCACATATCATCGATGGAGTTCATCCTAATAATCATTTCTATTTCGTTTATTTACAGGTGCATTACAAAACCTATGCTAGTCGGAGTAATCGAGATATTAGGTTTGACCAACTTCTTCGCACCAAGCCGCTGTCCACATGTACTGCCTCTTCAACTGCATTTTCAAAATCAAGCGTAACTGTTAGCTCCAGAAAGAAAGTTAATGTAGTGTCTTTTGTTCCTACTGGTGAGGGACAAGAACTAATAACCAGGTCTCCGGAAAAGATTGTTTCAGACAATGTAGATGGCTCTGTTTGTTCAGGAACCATACAGACCAGTGTTTCGTCACAGTCGTACACATTGCATTCCACCTCAGACTTGACTCCTACTAGTTCTCCAATTTTGTCGTATTCCTTTGCATATAAAGAATATTCTGATTATTCTGCAATTACTTCTGTGGCGGATACCTCTCGTAATCCCTCTTCTAATCACAAGTTCAACCGAAGTCCTATTCGCTATACAAATTCCGTGTATGAACAACATCCTTGTACACTGTCATCTCAAGCTACAACTTTACATTGTATCACGTCCAACTCTCAGTCAGGTGTTACAAGTTATCGAAGTCTATCTGGAGCAACTGCTACAAAAGTGACAGGTCAACCAGTGATTCAAAGAGTGGACAAAAGTCAAATAAACCCGGTGGTAACTATATCAAACAGTCAATTAAAGACGTACAGTTGTAATAATACTGCAAAAAGTATTCATGACCGTATTCTTCCTAATCCATGTTCTGTCTCAACATCAGATTCAATGGATCCTTTGGCTATAAATGTTGCCAAGCCAACTGGACGTCCCATTCTAACGGGTAAAAACAAAAGAGTAAGTGATTTCTTAATAGCCATTTTATATATAGCACTATGACAGTTATTTTTATATTTTGCTTGATTGGTACATTTAAAATCATTATTGAAAACAACTAAGTTTGTACTACAACTAATTTGGAACATACGAAGATGAAAATGGGGCTGATGTTCAGTGTGCAATCCACCTGGTGCCTCCTCATGAACAGAATACAGTGACTCCATTCTCGTATCTGGCAGGTACCTCACTGCTAGTAACACTATGCCTCTTAGCCTCCATTACCATAATCATACGTATACTATTGCTAATAGTGGAACGTTAGGTATTAGTGGTGAGATTGTATTGACGACATGCAGACTAACCTGTCATTCGAATGGAAATATAATTTCACTACATAAAATACCAATTTACCGGTAGCATACTCAAGTTTTATAATAAGCAGTTAGTGTCTAACAAGTTCTTTACTTAACAATAGAACTTTGCAGAGTACTACCTACACCAGTTGTGTTTGATATTGTGAAGTTTACTTCTTACCAACCTGAAATGTGTCACTCATTGTCTTACATAACGTAGAACTTTACACAAGAGTGCATCAGTTCAAGTTGGTTTACTTTGAAGAAGCAAATGACTGACTGGTTTCAACGCAGAACTTTGCACAGATGTGCAGCGGTTCCAGTAGCCACTCCCCCTCCATATAGCACACAAAGCAAGAGAAGAGATTAGGTAAGGAGGGATTCGAAAGACAGAGAGAGAATAAACAGAAGTGTGGGGCAAAAAGAATAGTAATATGACAGAACAATAGTTATTGGATAAAGCCTTGTTTTGGTTTGACCACCACTAGCTCTTTTCCGACCTGATCCATCCTATATCAGTCAGCTAACATTGCCCTTTGAAGAACTCGATGGCTAGGCATGTGTAACACATGTCTAATCCATCTCAATCAATGTGACTTCACAACCTCGTCGATTGATTTCTCCTCCTTACTTAGCACTCGATCGATGCCTAACCTCAATATTGCTCACCTTATTATACCACTTAACACACACGGGAGATAGAACACACACCTATGATCAAGGACAGCTAGCTGGCTTTTTCATATCTACCACTTTCAATGGCCATGTCTCAGCCATAACGAAGAAACACATACAAAGACAGATAAGATGAAGTGAGACAATGAATAAAGGTGTATGGAAGGAAGTATAATTTGATGAGCGTTTGTCAGGAATTCGAGAATCTGAAAAACTACACCAAGTGACTGCAACTGCTCCATTGTTGCCACTGGTCGATTCCTAATGTCCCAACTAGACATTTCACGCCTACCTATATAGCTCAAAACAAAAGTCAGAGACTTCAGGGCTGGAACCACTAACACTGTTCCAACTTACCATTGTTCCATTTAATATTGTTCCCTGAAGAAAACGGCTGTTCTGCATGTGTAACATCTCATCGACCGGTTTCTCCTCTTTACTTAACACCGTGCGACTAATCTCACTATATCTGACCATATTGTTCCACCTAGAAAAAGATATTGAACGCAAAAAGCTATAGTTAAAAATTACTGATCTTTCTATATCGTCTGATTTTAACGTCCATGTGTTAGAGCCGTACAATAAGACGAAGCGAACAGATGACAGCACACTTCATTTGCTGGACAGTCGAATATCATGCTGAAGCCAGTGGTTGATGCAGGTTGACATATGTATTTCCATAAAGGTGAAAGGTCAAATGCGACTGTCTGGCTGTTAAAACCGAACTGGTGGGTATGAACGTCCAACTAGAAGTGTTACAAAATCCTGATTCCGAAACTATAATGCACGTGGACTCTAGAATACAAAAAAATGAATGACGTGAACCTGTTTTGGTCACTGACGTCCATGTGAATGCAACTCCGAACTTCATCGTCTGCTTATTAAGGTCGGATAGTCTTTGTTCACTCAGCAGATCCACAACACCAGAGTTGTGATCAATAATCCGCAACGATATGGCTCAAAATCGTCGTCAGTGGCTAGCGCAGATGCATTCGCTCTTTGTGATTTATGGTATCCAGTAATTGTTGTTCTGCCATATTACTTTTCTTTTTGCCTCACATTTCTGTTTATTATCTCTTTATTTCGAATATCTCTTTACCTAATCTCTTCTCTTGCTTTGTGTGCTATATGGAGGGAGAGTGGCAACTGGAACTGCTGCACATCAGTGCAAAGTTCTGTGTTGAAACCAGTCAGTCACTCTATCCTAATTGGTTGAAGGGTCCATGTCTTCAACTTAAGAACAGTCCCCAGTTTACTAATTATCTTTGGGTCACAGTTTTCTTTAATGTCTGAGGTAGTTGTTGCAGCACCATTTTTTATGCAAACCAAGACACTAAGGACTCATAAGTATATCTTTTCCAGCAGTGTGGAAGGAAAATGAATCATGTGAAGTGATAGCATTCAGTGCGCCCTACCACCCACCTCCGAACGTTGTTTATTTCTTAACTGCTGCTTAGTTTTACTTGCAACTGATTTCTATCTTCTACATTAATTGTATATAATTTCTCTGTTTCACTAGGCTGCTTACAATCCACGTTCTTGGCAAAAAGATATTGAAACAGAAGACACCTCGCCAACTAAATTGGTAAGTCTGTTTTCCATCTATGCGAGCACATACAAAAATGTGCATGTGTGACTTCTGATTTTGATATTTCAAACCGTTTGGTACCGCACTTTCTAGCAGGCTTGGATTTTGACAACTTAAGCAGTAATCGAAACGAAAAAAGTCTAGAGACAATTCACAATGTTTAATGTCTAGAGGGGGAAACATCTTATAAAGTATTCTTATGTTTTAACAGCCACATTTGTCATGCAAGATGCAGTCACAACGTCACCTTCGCTCAGTTTTGATAGTGTTACGAATTGTAGGCAACTGTGAATTGATTTATGCCTGCGCAGATCATTGTGTTAATCTGTTTGACTTGTACTACATGAGTGGGAGATATAGGGTTCCACTGGACGGTAACTCAAGCTCAATCTAGGCAACTGGGGGTAACATCCCAAACACCTATGAAGTGTAACTTGCAGTGTAATATACAAACACATGATGAGCTGCATTGCTGCATACATTCACCGCTGATAACTTGGCTTTAGGGTGTCCATACTAGCGACTAAATCCTTTGATGCAAACTGTGAAGGTATCAACGGGACTCTAAGTAGGATTTTGTTTTCACAGTATATACATAACATTACAGAATACAAGATGCTGTATTGTATGAGAAAGACAAAATTTTGGTATATTGTCAATTAATCAAAAATTGCAAAGTGCGAACACCATTTAGCTTACTAATACAGGTGTCTGTGTGTGTGCGTGTGTGTGTCATTCTCTTTGGTCATCCACCAGTCTGTAAAAGTACACATCGTTTCACTTCTGATTGTTGGTTCAGCATTTTATTGTTGGTCGATGGTAACATGATGTCCCTTGAGAATCTGTCCTGATTAGTCGGCTTATATTTCGTAAATTGCTACGCTGTGCAACCAATTCAGCACACAGTAGTCATCCATTCACGAAGCTGTGATTCATTAGTGTAGACGCTTGACTTCTAATCAGTGGGATCGTGGGTTCGAACCCCTCTCCAAGCACTAAAGTTTGAGCAGCCATGAGCAGCATTACCAGTCTTCACATAGCAGCGGTGAATCATTGCCAACTTCATGGGATTGCAAGTGGCTGTTACGTAACACATTTTGAATTGAATTCACGAATACTTAATGATGCCGCCATTATGATTCCTAATTCTCGAGATAATTTTGTGCGTACAGTACTTTTATGCAGCAAAATTACTCACTTTATTACTGTCATGTGTTAATCAACACCAGTGCAAGTTATGGATGTTTCTCTGTATTATGTTAAGTACCATTTTTCCTAGTGTGTTATCTATCACTCCCTAAGGTTTTTCCGTCTTACGTCTATACACTTGACGGACCCTAGTTAGGATACACAGAGCCTGTCGTTCACCCGAAAGAATAGTGAAAGCTACTCAGTAACCATATGCATTTTCCTGTACTTGTCAGTAGTTGTTAGCCTCACATATTATGTAACATTAATTGGTAATACGTGTCTGTCGCAACATCACTAGGTGTGGAACGGTGGGGTAAGCAGTGATGTCCCATTCAGTTGGAACCAATGAATGACGTCTTAATCACAAGGTGGTTAATTTTTCAAGTTTGATCACAGATTGGTATCACTTTGACAAAGATTGAAAACATCACGTACTAGGAACCTTCAGGTTACAGGGCGACGAGGTCGCCACTAGGGCGGAATTCAATGACTGATTCACAATTTTATCGCGACCTCCAGGCAGTGTCATTGGCGAGTAATTACCTGCATACACCGCGACTTGAATGACCCTACCAGTCATGACTTCCCACTAGAGCTCCAGGTAAGTTAGAGAATCACTAGTGAGCATCAGATTAACTTTTAAGAGTTAGTTTTTTAGGGATTTAATTTTTCAAGTGTTGGTTTGTCGGGGTTTGATTGGTTTCAGGATTTCATTATGAGCTGACATTGGAAAACCAGCTGGGAGTACTGCACAGCCGTTTCGTCCTAGTTTGGGACTCTTCATCAGTACGCACCCACCGCCAGGGTTTGAACCCAGGACTTTCTGGTTACAAGGCGAGCTCGTATACCATTAAGCCACTGGGACCCGATCCAATGGCCAGTCCATGAATTCTAACTTCTGCTAATGCACGGCATAGCGCGACCGCTAGCCAATGTCTTTGGTAGCGAGTATTTGTCCTCACACCCGACCTGCTACATTCTAATGGAGGTCAATCACGAGCCCAAATAGCTCAGTGTTCACGTATCTGAGTGCAGAACTCATTCAAGTTTCATGTCATCAGCTAACCTTTTATTTTACACTGATGAATCCATTCTAACTCTGGTTTATTACTATTAATATTATTTTTCGTTTCAGCAAAAATTGATTGAACCATTCCCAGGTTCACAAAGCACAACAACAATAACAACAACAACTGCTACTACTGCAGTTAATTCTACTCATTCCTCAACAAATAATAATAATAACAGAGCCTCATCATTCTTGACTGCTCAAAAACCTAATAATCGACAAACTTGTCTAACTGATAATAACAAAAAATCTAGTACAAATAAATCTGATAATTATGCATTCCATGACTTTGATGAAGAGGAAGAAGAAGACGAAGATGTTGATAAATTTAAAAAAGCTTTTAATCCTTCACGTCCTCTTTCACAGTCATATTTACCTTCAGTGATGAAAAGTAGTCATCATTCACTGAAATCATCTAGTAATCATCATCATCAATCATCAGATGAACAAGATGGTGATGATGGCGATGAGGATATTGAAGACGACGATGTGAAACCATGGTTCCGTCCAGCTTCTCGTGAAAAAACTTCTATCAAATCAATGGACAAACTGTCCATTAATTCAACAAAGAATATGAAAGTTAACCGGTCAGAAAAACCTGTGAGTTTTTGTCTATTTGTTGGTTTGTTTTGATGTGTGTTATTATATTGAATATAGTAAAACTTAGGAACACAAACTTGATGCATTATAGGCACAAAGAGACATCTTTCGCTAACTTACACCATCTCTGGCGTAGGCGTGATATCCGACTATCAACCAAGGGACACATGTGTACTGCTCAGCAGTTTGCTCCGTCCTTCTCTATGGCTGGCTCTGAAACATGGCCAATACGAGTTGAAGATATGAAAAGGTTGACTGCTTTTGATCATAGATGTCTACGATCTCTTTCTCACGTTAGGTGGTGGTATAATAAGGTAAGTAATGTTGACGTTAGGCGTAGAGTGTTGGGCAAAGAGGGAAAGTCAATCGTAGAGGCTATAAAGTTACATAGATTGAGATGGCTAGGTCACGTGCTGCGCATGCCTAACCATCGCCTCCCCCGACGGACGGGCATTACTAGCTGATATAGGTGGTGCAGGTTTGAAAAGAGTAAGTGGTGGCCAAACAAAAACATGGCCTCATCAATCCATGAAATCCTTGACAGTTAAACTGAGTCAGGTAGGGAGGGAGATGCAAACTTCCGGGTTGGGGCCCTCGGGACTCTAAGAATCATCAATGACTGGAGACAATAGGTGACATGGCTGAAAATCGTTGTCAATGGCTTATGCAGATGTATTCAGTCTCTGTAATCTTTCATATTCCTTTGTGATGAAGATCCCTGGCCAACAACAACAACAACAACAACAACAGACAGCAATCAGCATAAATGGAAAGAACCTGAAAGAAACTACCTCCTTTACCTACTTGGGAAGCATTGTTTCAACTACAGGCGGAACTGACGAGGATATCAAAGCAAGGATCGGGAAAGCAAGGCAAGCTTTCATTACTCTGAAGTCTGTGTGGAGGTCAACATCATTCAGCGTCAAAAATAAAATCGGGATTTTCAACTCCAATGTGAAGTCAGTACTACTATACGGATCAGAGACTTGGCGTGTCACAAAGAGCACCTCAAACAAGCTACAGACCTTCATTAACAGTTGTCTTCGCTCAATACTCAAGATCAGATGGCCGGAAAGGATCAGCAACAAAGATCTCTGGGAGCGAACCAACCAGGAACCGATTGTGAAACAAATAGGCAGGAAGAAATGGAGATGGATTGGCCACACTCTGAGGAAACCAGCAAGTGACATCACTAGACAAGCCATTGCTCGAGTGGAACCCGAAAGGGAAGCGACGAGTTGGTCGTCCAAGGGTGACCTGGAGGAGATCATGTGAAGAGGAGATGAAAGCATGTGGGCAGACCTGGAGCCAGGTGAAAACTCTAGCAGAGAACCGAACGCAATGGAGACGCATGGCTGAAGCCCTATGTTCCTCTAGGAACTAAAGGAAATAATAATAATTACTCATTCTGTTTCACTCTTATACTTGTCAAAACTCTATTGATTCTCTTCACTCATTTTCTTGTCTACCTTTGTGTGCTAATTGGAACGTGGCAACTGGAACTGCTGCACTTCGGTGCCAAGTTCTATGTTGAATCCAGACAGAGACAGACAAAGAGACATGCTTCACTAAAACCTCATAGTTTGTACATGAGAACTAGAATACTACTCGGATGTATAAAGCTAAACAGGTAATTGCCTTAAGGGACGACCACCCCCACCCCCGAGAGCTTTTTACTGTGATCCACAAAGCAGTTGAGCTGCCTTCTCATGGTTGCAGGTGACCAAAACAGATTGGATCCTTTCGTATTCTGGAGTCCATATACACCTTTGGTTTGGAATCAAAGTTTTTCAGCTCCCCAATGGAGTAAACCTGGTTGTAAGCAGCAGTTTTGTGAGGAACACCCCCCCCCCCATGTGTGCTGTGTGAAGGTAGGTAGTGAATAGGACTCTTCTGACAGAAGCTGTGAACACATGGTCAAATGAGAGTACTTCTAGATCAATACTTAAGTTTACCCACCTTTGGCCACATCATCTCCTTTGTGAGATCAAAGTATGCACCTAGGACTTTCAGCTTACTGAAGAGAATAATGGTACAGAGACTTTAAAAGAAACTAACTTTTGAGTCCAATAGTCAATTAATTGAACTGATCTGAAACGTAGTCAACAACTTCACTTATATATAATATAACCACCTCTGAACACCAACATTTGAGTTAATGTTTTCTGTTGGAATAACCTCTTTGTACCTGCTTTTTGAATATATAAAAGTAGTTTCACAGTGCTCGAAATTGACAGAAATGCCACATTAGATGTGGCATTTATTTGATGTTGCTGAATTAGACCAATTTATTCCTGAGAATCTCATATCAAGTGATTTACATAACCTACTTTGTGTAGTTTTTCACTCCCTCCTATATATCAGTGCAATTCCTTGGATATCCGAGACTGGTGTTACATCATTTCTATCATATGTTCACGGTGTTGACTCCGTCGAAGATATTCAAACCTTAATCTCTCTCTCTCCCTACCCACCTATCTATATTACTGTTTAATACTTTAACCCTATCCCATTTTGGGATTGATTGTGCATGCTTCCGAATGGCGGATTCTTTTTTAGATCATCTGGCAAGCTAACCGAAATCCTATTCTTACACTAATCATATCTATGCTTTTTCTGTTCACTTAGTAAACTGACACCAGTAGGGTGCAGCAGGTCGGGTGTGAGGACAAATACTCGCCGAAGACATTGGTTAGGAGTCGCGCTATGTCGTGCATTAGCAGAAGTTAGAATTCATGGACTGGCCATTGGATCGGGTCCCAGTGGCTTAATGGTCTACTAGCTAGCTCGCCTTGTAACCAGAAGGTCCTGGGTTCGAACCGTAGCGGTGGGTGGGTACTGATGAAGAGTCCCAAACTAGGACGAAACAGCTGTCCAGTACTCCCAGCTGGTTTTCCAATGGTTCTCTAACTAATGTCAACTCATGATGAAAATCCTGTGACACAACTGTCATGGACATAAGCGTTATTCATAGATCACTACTATTTTTAACTTTGGATAGATAAAACACTGAGTCATTACCAAATATCCTCGTATATGTATCCGGGTGAGGACAAATAAGGAAAAAGCAAGGACAGAACAAGTCAACAGACTTTGTTTAAGAAGAATACTGTGCTGTGCTGAGACTTCGTCATTAGTCAGTTCATTAGTATAGATTTCAGTAGTTACAGATATAAGTTCTTTTGGTTCGTATGTGGATGATACGCACGGCAAACATATTCAGATTTTCTCATAAGGAGTTGAGAAAACTGCACTTCGTCATTGTCTGATATAGGGTCAGGCTGGAAAAGAGCTAGCGGCGGTTAAACGAAAACATGTCACCAGTCAATGAAATCTACAACAGTTAGTCTAGGCTACGTAGGAAGGTGTAGACTTCCTGGTTGGGGTCCTCGGGACGGTAAAAACCAATGGCTGGAAACAATTGGTGACATGGCTCAAAATCGTTCTCAATGGCTGGCGCAGATGCATCCACTCGTTGTGACTTATGATTTCCAATGAAACTGTTTCGTTCGTAGTTATTACTATTCCTTTGTATCACACCTCTGTTTACTGTCTCTAATATGAATTTCTCCTACTTTCTTCTCTTGCTTTGTTGTGCTACATGGAGCGTGGTGACTTGAACTGCTGCACATATGTGCAAAGTTCTATTTCGAAAACAGATAGATAGACAGACAGTGTCTTTACACCTAAAACGCCAATTCTATCTGCGCACTCCCCATAGAATTTGCTCACAGAATAATTTACCTGGAGGTTCTTGTGCGAAGTCGTGACCAGTAAACTATACTCAACCGTGAGGTATGAGAACAAATGCCCACTAGTGACAGTAAATGGCGGTCGCACTAAAATCGCGAACTGATAGAAGTTAGATTTTATGGATTTCAGCCCAAGTAGCTGACTGGTCGGTGAACTTGTCCTCATAACCTGTGGGTCTCCAGGGTTTGGTTCCCTTAAGATGGGGTGATGAATGCCCACTGATAAAGAGTCCGAAGCTAGGACGAAACAGATGTACAGTATACTGGTCTTGTCAGAATTATTTACCGATAACTTTCCGAGTATAATTTATTGTTCATAATCATATCAACCTCTCATACGGCTTCCATCTTTCGTTTTGCTATGGTTTATTCATTGTGGGTTCATTTTATACCAGTCACACATATTTCCATAGCATATATGACAATATTGTATGTAGAGTATTCAGCTGGGTTTTACCGAAATTTCGATAAATTCATTAAATCCTGTGAATATATCTTGAAAATGTTAAGATACTTACGTAATATTCAAAATATCCCCTTTACCCCTTTCTTCTTCTTCTATTTTAAAGTTATATACTGTACTACGCAAAGTGAAAGAAGCACATGTTTGTCAAGAACAAGGTGAAGCTCAACATTTACTCGACGATGTTGAATATTTAGTCGATGGTTTAGCCGATCGTAATCAAGTCAATACTCGTGCACTAAGGTTAGTTTACTTTTATGCCTTTTATTTCCTAAGAAATTAATGATTTCTTATAACACTGTATTGGAGGTTGTAGAGGGTGAGGAGGGAACGCACCTCTTCACTGTGTTGTTAGTCACACCAAAGTATCCAAAAGTAGGAATTCTTCATTGTTCCACAGTATATATTCCTTTGAGATTAGGGTTTTGTTTTGTAGTTATATGGATTAATTTCAATGTAGCAGATGTTATTACTAGGTAATATCAGCTAGAAATCATTGAAAACCATTGGAATGCAGTTTCGTCCCATCTTGGGACTCTTCATCAGTGGGCTCCGACTTTCAGGTTACAAGACATAGCTTGTTACTTTAATCCATATATTGGAGATCATAGATTAGACTCTGTAAACAGATGCATTTCATTGGTCTAAGATTCAAATCCCGAAGTCTCTGAATTACTAGTCCGTTGGTTTGATTTCTACCGATATCCAGAATTTTATTCTACGTTGAAGCATCACTCACTACATCAATAACAGTCTCCAAACCGAAAATTATCCTACATAGTCTTACCATCAGCATATTTCATTTATGTGTACCCCGTTTTGTGATGTCATTGAGATTATAGCAACTCAGGAAAACTTAATTCTTTTTAATACATAGTAATGGGAGATGTTACGTGAGTGAGTGTTCAGATTTCAGAGTGAGTGAACACAGAGTAATTCATTAGTGAATAGCTAGTCAGTTATTACTATTATTATTATTATTCCCTTTGATTCTGAGTGGATTATGCGGCTTCAACATCACTTCTGCATTTCATTCTGTTCCCTGAAGTCTATTTTAGCTGGCTCTGCGATCGCCCATACTCTTTCATCACCTCACACGATTACCTCCATGTCGACTTCACATGCTGAACCCGTGTTTACCATTCAGCTTCAATTAGAAAAGGGCCTTGTTGGTGTCATGTCGCCCAATGGTCTTCTCACTCAGCATGTATCCAATTCATATTTCCATTTCTTTCGGCATATTTGTAGGGCAATAAGCTGTTTGGTTTGTTAACAGCGTTTCTTTATGCATATTTCTTCTGGCCGACTGTTTGATCTCCACGATCGGAGCAGCTATAACAACCACTGATAAAAGTCTGCAGTAACTCGTTAGAAATGCCTTACTTGACGCGCGTGCCAGGTCTGTGAAACATGTAGAATCACTAATTTAACATTGGTGTTGAAGTTTGTGAATATTATTATACGCGGGGGGAGGGGCACTTGATTATGAAATCCTGTGTCACTTAGTATATTTGGTGTAGCACATTGTAATATAGCAATGTGACTTTTACTAGACAACTTTTCCACTACAATTTACTGCTCATAAATCATTTCAAAGTAAATCATACAACGTTCAAATCTGAGTTTTATTCATCTCTAGTGTGTCTCATTTCTTCACTTTTATTGGTATCACAGATTTCCAAATATTCACAATATTAATCCAATAACATGTGTGTTTGTGTATGTGTGTGTGTGCAATGTTGATTGGATAACCAAAGTCCCATTAATCGAAGTCTCCCTCTTCACTTATCCCTATTGGATTACAGAACTTTCGTATGCCTTCCGATGACTAAGCTTTCGTCTAGAGAGCATGTTTAACCTAAACAGAATTAGTCAGTTTGTATACAGCGAACCATCTGTGTTCTTACTAACTAACAAACTAAACAACTAACTAACTAACTATGTAATCAACTGCTTTGACCTATGCACATTGACCTCACAATCATCATGACATAATAGTTGATGCTACAGTTCAATCATTTCTTTTCTTCAAAATACGGTCTACGACCTTTCACCCTATTAAATTGCTTGTAGATTGAAATGCTCTGCATCACCCTTATCACAGTTTTATTGAGAATTCTATGCAGAGTTTCTTAGTATATCAACACTACAGTAGGGGGGAGGAGGGCTTAACTGAGCTATCACTTGCGTTGCAGTTACTCCTAACATCATTTTGACTACTATTAGTGTTAAAGTATTAATATCACGACTTACTAGAAGTGAGAATCGATTATTCGTCCTTTGGATTTCGTTCCACTGGTCTGAGTGAATCTTCAACGAGCTCTCCTTGTATCCCTAAGGTTTTGAGTTCGTCCCCGTGTGGGTGGTGGAGTCATTGGCGTGTGTTGCTGAAGTGTCCCAGAAAGGACGAAATCGCTGTGTTCAGTGTTCCCGCCTAGTCTTCAATGTTTCTCCCTAACAAAAGTCAGTTCGTTATCGAAATTATTTAGCATCTCTTTCATACGTAGGAATTCTTTATTTCAATACTTGTATTCAACCATTAAGGTACTACCTCGGTTGATTAAATTTCTGTTTGTCAAATCCACACTGATAAATATTTAATGAGAGTCAAGTGTTCGATTCCGACGTACACTTGTATTTATGATACGTACCATCTTTTCGTAGTGTTTCTCTTTTTTTGAATCCGACATCATTCAGTAGTGGCCTTCAGTGTTGATTTTCTAATTCATAAGTTTGACACCTATGGAAAATGTCTTTTAGCTATATGTTCTGGGGGAATGCAGGTACATCCACATGACGAGTCCCAAATAGGACGAAATGAGCATCCTGGATTCCATTGCTAGTCACCATCCATTAATTGATTTTATGTTCTAGTGTGCAGTGATTATTGTCTAAAGTTCTATGTCGACAGAATTTCATCGGATATTCCGATCACACACACACACACCGTACTTGTCATATCTACAACTATATTAGACGCAACGGAGCATATGGAGTCACAATATCTTACCAACCATAGGTCAAAATGTTTACGGGTCATGACCATAGATAAGAGAAAGGATAATGTGTGTTAGGGGAGTGAGGGAGGGGCGGAGGTGAAAATCATATTGGATTACCTTAGGTGGCAGGATCAAAGTAATAAAAAATAATTTTTTGAAGACATGAGCCCGGATTAAGTCTTTTTTTATGGTCAGACCTTTCTTCAACAAACTTTTACGTACCTATATGGTCCAACTATGTTTTATATGAGTTTTAAAGTCACTATTAAGATCAAGTATATGACTTGTCTCCATGATGTGGATTGCGATAGGTGACGTTGGACATCTATTTCCGGGATTAATTTTATCAGGTGATTTCATTTGCCCTTGCATCCACTTTTGAATATGCTCTGTAGTGCCCGACCTGCAGAGATCGACTGGGCCTTCGTATGTACATGTGGCCACACTCACATGTAAACTGGTAATTGGCTGTAACGCTATCGTTCGGATTCTCTGAAGGTGTGCAGGACAAAGTAGGCGTTATCTCTCTATGAAAATGAGTTCACCCGCCTAGTAAGAGCACTATTGCCTGCTGTTCTGAGTCCTTGTTTAGTTGATGAAACTTCGATGATCATTCTCGAACCGTGAATATACGTAAACATTCTTCCTAGGAGCTGATCAGATTGGCATCACCCAATGTTTGACGCTTCTGTGTGGCGTTTTTTTAAATTTTAGAGGATAGTCAGTTAATATCTAGTAATATTTTACTGAAGTTTCTTTATGCTTCAATGGTATCGTCTGTACACATATGTTGTTCAGCTATACTACGTGCATAACTGTACTCCCAGTTTAACTTTGATCACTGATCCAGGCAACTATATTGTTGCAATATTATTCGAAAGCATTACAAAACAGAAGTGTCTGTAATGCAACTACACCACAGTCTTCTCTCTCTCTCTCATGAGAATATGTCCCTAATGTTCATGGCATTCATGAGGTTTTAAACAATGAGCTTGTCATGTGCTTTACCGATTCCCCTGTCGTATTGTAACGACAGAAGACAAGGGCCAGATCGTTTATTGAGAAAATCAACAGATATATTTAATAGATTTTTATGTACATTATTGTCAGCGGAGAAGCAACGTCTTCTAATTGGTTGTTTTCCTGCTGTGGAGGTTATTCTGTCATCTCTTTGTGGCCGGTCTGCGAATCGTATCTGCCGACGTTAAGTCTGCTGTGAGATTGGTTATTGAGTTCTTCAAGGTTAGGCTTTGTTCTTGTTTTTTTTCTCACGACCCCGATTTAGGACGTAAACAATGACGTCAATCGTGTTGTCTACAATTTTGTCTTACAAACAGATTGCTCTCATCACAATATTAGTTATCATTCTTAAGGAAAGCACAATAATTAATACAGTACTTTGTCTTATTATTATGGAAGAGTTGATTTATAATTGAAGAGGTCTACGAATCCTTCGTGCGTCGAATGATTCAATCGTAGGAAAGCTCACCGATCACGCCACACGCGTTGTCTGAGGTTCGATTTCCGACCAGATGACTCGTAATCCTCACTTAGCTAGTAGTAGAGTATGTCCAGTAAAGAGGGAAAGCTTAGGTGTGGGACTAGCCTACAGCAACCCTTCCACACATCAAAGAAACAACACCACCTCTACTGAGATTTCAAAGCTCAACCTTGTGAAACCCTATGTTCCATTTGGAACGCAACAGAATAGGAAATGTAAAGAATCTTCGAATTCTCCAAACAGCTGTTCGGATAAGATATATTTATTAACATATTTGTTAATTCACCTAATTGAATTCATCAACACGTTCGTTATATAAATAATCTTTTTTTCCGGTCAATGCATTCCAGTTAAGCATTGTTTATTTATAAATATAGATAGTTTATTGTAATGTGAGAGTAACAGAAAGCTTGCTCCACAGGTCAATAATGACTTAGATCCTGCTGTGATTATTAATACACGTTCTCATTTCACTTTCATAATTAGTAATTCGTTTTACACTAATATCAGGTTTTTATTAGAATTCAAGGTTGTTAAAAGGATAGATGTTTATGTTTTGTTGGTGGTACTTCGTCCTGTTTGAGACTCGTCAGCTGCTTGTGTAGTTCCTCCTCTCTATTGAATGAAGACATGAACCACACTGTCTAAAGCATTTAGCTTTCAGTTCATGGGTTCTGAGTTCAAATACCCTGGATATCGACCCGTATTTCCATCAGTCCGGTTGTAAGCGCCAGACGTTCACATTCTCCCTTTCACTTTTGTGACGAACATCTTTGTAGCGCATGAATGTAGTGAATAGAACTTACCTGGTCATATGATGAGAGCGTTTCGAGCGAAAGACCGAAGTCCACCGTGCCTCTGTCGTAACAGATCGTTTATGGATTCCAGTGAGTGATGATAATGGCATCCGATCTAATCTTACTGATATTTTAAAAGCAATTGTTGTTGTTGTTGTGTTCTCTGAGCTAGCTGGATGGTTTATTTATTTGCGAAGCTTTCATTGCCCTACTAGGCAACATCTTCAGTGCATACACTTCAATTTGATGAAATCAGCCTTTCGATTTCTCCATGAGTTCACTATTAGTCATCTCTCCTGGTAGGTGACCTTGAACGTGATTGGTTGTTTTTATGTGTTTTCACACCCTCTAATCTACACTTGTATTGATACTGATTGTTTGCTTGACCTGAAGTTTGACACTTTGTGTATGGGATTTCCTTCTTATCAGTTGGTAAATTTTGTCTATGTCAATGTGTCTATTAATTTCCGATTCACTGGAATACCAGGCAGGCTTCTCTACCATTCTTGGTATTTCCTCTATCTAATATTTGAACGTTATTCCAGTCGAATTGATGTCCGTAGTAGTGTCTGTATGTAGTGATATGAGTGAGGGAGTGGATATCACGTCTTTTGACGGCTTGCACATCATCCACTCCCTCATATCACTCACTGCATACATCAATTCGAATGAAACAACATTCAAATATTAGACAAAGGAAACACCAAAAATGGCAGAGAATTTTTAGAAGCCTGCCTGGTATTCCAGTGAATCGGCAATTAATAGACACATTGATATATATATATATATATATATATATATATATATATATATATATATATAGAGAGAGAGAGAGAGAGAGAGAAAGGTCACCACAGATCATATAAACCTACCTACCTACCTACTTAGTTGTGATATAATGACAGCTAAACAATGATTAGTGTGATCGGTCGCATACACATCCAGCCAACCACACTCACCATTATTAAATCTGTGCGTACCATTGATTGTATCTTGTCAGTTAGTGTATTATACAATTCATATTGTTGTAGTATATATATATATATATATATATATATATATATATATACTTCTAAATGCTGCACATATTCACTTGTTCGGTGAGATAATTTAATGTAGGTCTAATCATGTGTTAAAAGGTATCTAAGATAGATAGATAGAGAAAGAGAGAGATCTGCGCTGTTGCTCTATATGCTAATTAATCGTCTTCATTATAATACCAAAGTTATTCTGTATACTATCTATCTACCTATCTATTTGAAATAATTACTGACACAATTTTTCGTATTTATATACACACGCTATACTGGTGTTATTACCTCATTATTATTATTATTATTATTATTATTATTATTATTATTACTGTGCTGATTTCTTGTCATCATCACTGATATATCATCAATACTTGACCGCCTCGTCGTCGCCGCTATCGTCAACGTGTCTGTCTAATCCATCTTCATTTCCTACTGGCGCATATATATTTCTCGGGTGATTGGTTCCCCTTCCCCTTGTTCGTTTTTTTTTTTTGTTGTTGTTGCTCCTTATGCTTTTCTTTTGGCGGCTAATGTGAGATCTTCAGTGGTATAGAGAGTTAACGAAGGCAGATGTTGATAAAAAAAATTTGCAACTGGCTGTTGGAAGTGTTTTTTGTGACGCGCGCACACCAAGTCTTGTACTACCGTGGAGTCCAGAGTGAAGCAAGTGTTTGTCTCAGGAGGGTAAACCTCTATCAAGTCTGATCCTGACACAAGGCAGTCGAGCAGAGTCCGTGGCACAGCGGTTAGGATTCTCGCCAACCATGCACATGGTCCGGGCGGGGTTCGATCCGCTACCGATGCACACCTGATATCAATGGTCGGCCTGCAGAATTTGGGCTAACGATATCACATGCTGAAAATTTCATACTTGTACCAAAAAATATGGTGTGGAATCAAGCTATAATCAAATATAAGAAAAAGATAAAATATGTACATGTATATAGAAGCAGTGACTGATTTGATGACATGAGTGTTGAAAATCTGAAGTTTTTGTTCTTTATTGTTTATGCTAAGAGTGCAGCAACAGCAGCAGATTTCCACACGAATTTCAGAGATTCTTATCGGCTTTGATACTCTGATCTGTGCCACCTGTAGTTGAAACTAGATAAAGTGGGAGAGGCGGTGACCTTGTTTAGGGATTGGTGCTTGTTGCTGTTGTTGTTGGCCGGTGGCGGGTATCTTCATCATTCCCTCTCTCTTCTCTATGTTTACTTGAAGTTCTCTGTCTTCACTACTGGCCTGTTCCACTAACTGGTTGGTTTTTCTGCAGTAGATCTTCGAGTTCAACCCCATTATGGATAAAATTTGATACTTTGATAAAGTCACACAGTGTTGTTATGCAGTAATAGCAATAGCATTAAGTAGTACAACGGAAAACCTAAATGATTAAATGAAATAGATAGAAGAATAGCTGATTGATGTTAAATAACCATCCTATAAAATTCATTAGGAATATCAAAAAATGGTCAAAAGCAAAATAAAAATAATGGTGAAACTAATAATAATAATGATAACATTAATAAGAAAGAATATAAGACATCTACACTTTTACCATATAAGGAGAGGAGGGGACATCTGAGACCTTACGTAGCAGGATTCTTCATAAAGCAGGAATTAGGGTGGCATTCAAACCTACAAACTCACTCAGGACAAGATCTGTAAACTAAAGGACCCGGTTGACCCAATGAAATAAAATAATATAATTTACAAAATACCTTGCAATCACTGTGAATTTAGGTCAACTGCATAGGTCAGTTAAACCAGTAGATCAGGAGTAGTGAGATTATCAGAACATAAGAATTTAGCTAAGGTTAAAATGATTGACCCTGCCCGAGAAGATTAGAAATTTAAAGAAAAGCTCAGTAATTGCACTGCATGCATGCATTAACACACAACAGCACAATAGTGTGGGAGAGGGTTAAGATTCTACGAAGTAATCTATGTAGGTGGAGATAGAGAGAGATTAATTACTGAATCCTGCCATGTTCATCGGGTCTACACCCAGCACATGCAACAGAAATGACTCAATGCAAATACCAGAGATATGGAAGATATTATCACCACCAGTCAAATAATGTTATACTTATTGACAACACTAATAGTGTTTCCGAATGTACTTAATCTTCTTTTCTGTTCATGCAAGTCTTTTATTGACTTTACTCAAATGTTTAATCATCAATTTTTACTCATGTATATAAACGAAGCAAGAAAGTTGTGTGATATGAACAACAGTAAATATTACTTACTGTATAACACCACTGTGTGACTTTATCAAAATAAAATTTTATCCATAATGGAGTTATACTCTACCACCACAATGCCCAAGTTTTATCTTTAGATCTTCGAGTTTATTTGACATTAGACATACACCACTTATTAAATCTAGATCTTCTAGAGTTGTTTTTTTGCCGGTTCAATGTATATATTCTCGTCTTCATACTCAACCATAATCAGATAGTGATCAGCCTTCTCTTACTCCTACCTTCACTTTAAAGGCTTCCAGGAGCTTTTCGTTGTGAATTGCTTACCATCTGTGACATGAAAATCTTGTTGTTAAATAAATAAGGTTTGTAGATGTTTGTTACGGTACTGCCCCCACCCTCATCCACTCTGTAGTGTTTAAAGAGTCTTTAAATTACATTGCAGTCACAAGTCTTTTCAAAGTCGATTAAGCTGATGTAGATATTCGACTGTAGTTTGATCGAGTACATGCTGAGAAGAGCGTCATGAGTGACATATTGCCAGAGTGACCCTCGTGAGCAACCCGAATGAGTGATGTCACTTCGAGGATGAAATGGAAGAGATGAAAGTGCTTTTGGAAGTGTGTGGGCGGTTGTCACTCCCCGGCTGCCCACACCGTGGAAGTTGATTGATTCTTCAGGTACCTGAAACAGAAAAATGGTTAGTGTTGCGTGACCGCAGAGCCCAGTCACACACAGTTTCTTGGTTTAGTTTCGTATTAGTAAACTTACCGCCGGTTACGGACCACCGTAGGTTGGCTAAATCGGGATGTACTATTTTTGGGGTCAACCTTTTCTAACCCTCTCTCTCCAGCAGAGTGGAGAGACAACATAGCTATCTGGCATGCTGGTCATCTGAGGGAAACAGTCTATTACTGCTGTTACATCCCTGTTCCCCTGCAGCACGACTTCGTCCACAGACCCCTAGCATAGTGTAAGAAAGATTCTTACACAATGCCGGTAACTGCTTTTAATCTAATCGATATCCTAACAACCTTCCTGGCATGGTAGAACCTGCAGGAACATTGGTTCCAGTCGGTGTAGCTTGTTGGGTCATTGCAATGTGCAAGCTCGACCACCACGTCAAGGGGTAGCAGCTATCGATCGGGAAATGGAAGCGATCGTATATCCAGATAGTGAGGGGACTGTAGAGAAGAGAATGAGGATGAAATGAAGATGTATTGTTGAAACCCTCTCTTCCACTCGAAGCTTGAAGGGGTTTGTAACTACAGTTACACAGCAATCATCAGTTCTAGGTTTACAGTTTAGTCGTTAGCTTGTTGTTGTACATGTAACATTCTCATTACCATCTTTTTGTTTCCATAATTCATCCATACAACTGATATGGCAGTTATAAGAAGTAAGTGGAGTTTTGTTACGCTTCAACGACTTGATCTGTTCGTTGTTTTTGCTTGTTTGTTGTTGTTGTTTGTTTTTTTTTCTTTGCGTTACTTTGTTTATTTTTTACAAATGTATGTATATTTTCGTCTATCTTCCCTAATATATATATATATATATATCATACGGTTTTGTTTTTATTTTCTATCTCTTTTGTTTTGTCATTCAGTGTACTCACACTAGCCAATAAGTGTTTAGCAGCATCTTTCCGTTATACACTTAATGCTCATGGTCTACTAAAGCGTATTTGTGCAAAATTACACGATGCCCATAAAGATTATGTGAGTTATATGATTTTGATTTTGGCTTTGGCTTTGATTTTTCTCCCCTGTCACCACCTTCTGTTCCATTTTCTCTTTGTATGTGACTCCTTTTTTTCGCGGTTTATTTATTTAATTATTTTCATTTCATGCAAGGTTATGTGTGTTACTGGTGTTGGGTTAACATAGACTATCTACTTGTTTTAATCAATGTTTTTATCTGCCGCGTCAATTGATTAGACCGAAATGTTCTCCTTCTGTTGACTGACATGTCAGCTCCCTAGTACCAGACACTTCGATGATATCTGAGGATTAATGCATGCTATTGATGTTATTTGTTGGATGGTGATTCCAGCGTCCTGGTGGGATTCTATTTAGGAGTCATCAGCTGGATATACGCTTTGGCGTTTGGTCGGTCGGTCGGTCGGTTTACGACATAGAACTTTGCACCGGTGTGCAGCAGTCCGAGTTGCCACACTCCATGTAGCACACAAAGCAGGAAAACGGAGTAGAAGAAATGCATAATGTAGGCAGTAAACATAGATGTGAGACAAAGGGATAGTAATAACGAAGAACAAAACAGTTTCATTGGAAATCATAAGTCACAAGGAGTGGATGCATCTGCACCAGCCATTGAGAACGATTTTGAGCCATATCACCAATTGTCTCCAGCTGCCATTGGTGTTAACCGTCACGAGGACCCCAACCAGGAAGTCTACACCTTCCTACGTGACTGGATGATTTAAACTAACTGTTGTGGATTTCATTGACTGATGAAGCTATGTTTTGGTTTGGCCGTCGCTAGCTCTTTTCCAACCTGACCCTATGTCAGCTAACATTGCCCATTGTCGAGGAAGGCGATGGTTAGACAGGCATTCGTAACACATGTCCTAACTATCTCAGTCGATTTAACTACACATCCTCGTCAATTGATTGCCCCTTCCGCCTACCTAGCACTCTACTGATACCTAACCTCAATATTACTCACCCAATTGTATACCACTTCACACGAGAGATGGAACACAGGCACCTATGATCAGAGACAGCTAGCTGGCCTTTTCATGTCTTCCTCTTTCAATGACCAGGTATCACAGCCATAAAGGAGGACGGAGCGGACTGATGAGCAGTACACACGCCCTTTGGTCGATAGTCGGTATCACGTCTACGCCAGAGACGCCGTAAACTGGCATATGTGAAACTAGCCCTCTGTATTCGTACTGAGATTTCGTCAGAGACCAACCCGGTGGGGTTGATGGTACTTCCCAAGTATCATTTAAGGCGTTTGAGGTGATGGGTGCAGGGTTCGAGTCCCAGTGCGGCGATACCATCACTCATTCATTCACTGAGGATCACAGGTACACATCCAGGCGATATTTGTCTTAAATGAGGATGAAATCGGCATCCTGGATTCCACAACTAGTAATCAGCCACCAAGTGACTGACAAACTATTTATATTCGTTATGGGTAATTATAATGTAGGTCTTTCGAGAGGATGAAATTTATCCGCTGTTTCACCTACATGACACTTTTAAATTTTCATTCTCTTATGCGATCGATAAAGTAGGAATATCTGGTCAGAAGTTGGAGGTTTTCTAAGTCGGATTGCATTTCTAAACCGAAATAAAGCCTTATTACCGATGAAATTTGCATGTTGAACGTCTGATAATAATTCTTTCAAAAATAATTTTAATACCATTGAAATTCGATTGTATGTAATGAACCGGGACAGCTTCGAAGTGATATTTGTCAATTGTTCCAGTGTGAATATAATATATTTTCGAGGGGAGGGGGAATGTGTTGGCATAACTTTTCATATGAAGAATATAATCTCAGCCTCAGGGTCGTATGACATCTGACTATTTCGATCTTTGATCACAGATTTTTAGGTTCTATCCTCTGTGTGTTAAGTGGTATAATATTTTGATTGATTTTGAGGTTAGGTATTAAATGTTGGGTAAGAAAGCGAAGTTAGCTGACAACGTTGTGAAGCCACATCGATTGAGGGATGGCTGGGGCACACTGTGTATGTCGAACCCCCACCTTCCTTGTTGAGCAATATTAGTAGTTTAGAAGAGAGTTAAGGACGGTCAAACTAGAACTTGACATCAGTCCATGGAGTCTTTGGTGGTCAGTCTGAGCTGGTTATGTAGAGAGGGTGGTGCAGACTGCTTAGTTGAGGACCTCGATATGTTGAGAAGCCAACAGCTGAAGACTATTGGTGATATATGACTAGAGATATCCGTGTCAGTGTCACAAATGAATTCACTCTATATGATCTCCCAGATCCATTAGATTCTCACGTTTTTCCACGTTGCAATTCTGTCTCTCTCTTTCTATCTCGTACATTTCTGATCACTGTAGTTCATGTACTGCTCAGCAGACCGCTCCATCCTCCTTTATGGTTGGGAGACCTGACCATTGAGAGAGGAAGACATCAAAAGGTCAGCTATCTGTATTTGATCATGGGTGCCTGTGTTCCATCTCCCGTGTGAAGTGGTGGTATAAAAGGGTGAGCAATATTGAGGTTAGGCATCAGTTGAGTGCTAGGTAGGCGGAAGGGGAAATCAATTGACGAGGATGTGAAGTTAAATCGACCGAGATGGTTAGGAGATGTGTTACGCATGCCTGTCTAACCATCGCCTTCCTCGACTGACGGGCAATGTTAGCTGACACAGTGTCAGGTTGGAAAAGAGCTAGCACGTGGTGGTCAAACCGAAAAATGGCTTCATCAGTCAAAGGAAATCCACAACAGTTAGTTTAAGCCAGCCAGTCACGTAGGAAGGTGTAGACTTCCTGGTTGGAGTCCTCATGTGACGGTAAACAACAATGGCTGGAGACAATTAGTGATGTCTCGAAGTCGTTCTCAATGACTGGTGCAGATGCATTCTCTCCTTGTGACTTGTAATACCCAATAAAACTAAATTGCTCTGCCGTATTACTATTCTTTTTGTCTCGTATCTCTGTTTACTGTCTCTATTTTGCGTTTGTTTTTACTTTCTTCTATTGCTTTGTGTGCAACATGAAGGGAATGTGGCAACTCGAACTGCTAAACATCGGTGAAAAGTTCTATGTTAAAGCCAGTCAGTCAGTCAGTTATAGTTCGTTTTGAATTTCTATTTTGTTGTCTATCTTTTTTTACCATGTATGGAGTGTGGTAACTTGAACTCCTGTACTTTTGTGCAAATTTCTGCGTTAAAAGCTCAGTCATTATCCTACTGTTCTGATTTGTTTTATGCAATTAATTTGAGATTTGTAAATGTTTTGGTTGAGATTATGGTTCATTGCCTTTTAAGTAGTGGACTTTTAGTCAATGGGTCCGTGGGTTCGAATCTCACTTCACAGCCTATTTCAGCCTGGACAACCGCTTGGGTACTCCCAGGTTTTCTATTAGGGTTTTTAACTGATGTCAACTCGTAGGTCAAATCTGTAACAAATAAAATCACTTCGGAGAAGCAACATATTCTGATTGGTTGTTTTCTTGCTGAAGGTTATTCTGTCATCTCTTTGTAGCCGTTTCTTACAAAAGTTATCTATAATATCTGCAAATCGTATTTGCACACGCTAAGTCTTCTGTGATTGGTTGTTGAGTTCCTCAAGGTTAAGCTTTGCTATTGTCTTTTTTCTCATGACCCTGATTCGGGACGTAAACATAAACACGTAAATTGTTGTCTACAATTTTGACTCGCAGCTATCACCAGCTGTCACCACACTGCTTGTGTTGCTTATACCCTGGAGATTGAAACATCAGTTCTCCTGACTTTCGTATAATTATTTTCTTTAACTAAAGTTTTGTGAATTCCCCTGCACACATCGATGTCATTTACATAAATATTCGATGACATGAAACTGATTCACTGAGCTGTAACATAGAATTTCGCACAGAAGTGAAGGACGCACTTCGACTTGCCACATTCCATACAGAGTACTCGAAGAGAGAGACGGTTAGAAAAAAAAGAGATTTGAAAGAACCGGAGACAGAATAGTGAAATGTTACCAACAGTCTTTCCAGTCATTGGTTCTTAGCGGTCTGGTTAGCTCAGACCAGACTGTCAAAGACTAGATGAACTGATTGATGTCATACTTTAGTTTGACCATCTTTAACTCTCCCAACCAAATCATAGGTCAGTTAGCAATATTCCTCGTCGAGGAAGACGGTGACCTTGGCACGTGTTCTAGTCATCTCAGTAGCATGAAAACCTTTTAGTCTATTCTAGGCTATCTGTGTGTCTAATTGAATTTTCTTCAATTTCTTTTGGTCCCTCTAGGCACTGGCACTTACCTCCGCAGGATTAATGTTTGTTTTATCTCGAGATCGTGATCCGAATATCTTAGATGTTGAATCTCTTGCTATTGTGCTGAAATTATTCTCTGCACCTGATGGTAGGTTTTGCTTCTTTTTTTGAACAATCGTTTTATTTCCAATTTCTCTATCTGTACGTAATTTACAGTGAACACCAGTCAGGAATCTATCACCAAATAAATATGCAGAAGTAAATGGAGATAAATTGAATGTAGTGTCTGTCGTTGCGGTGATGGCCGTTCACTACTAGTATCTCATGCGCCAGCCACTCACTTGAGTGTAATCCGAATGGCGGAAACGAGGAGTTGGACGTGATTGTCTGCGGGTTGGGGTGGGGTGGTGGCATGTAGGCGACAATGTACCGAGGAAATGAAAACCTTATGAACAATGATAAAGCATAATAGACAGGTTCTGCTGAAGTCATATGGTTCCACTCAAGAGACAAGGAAGGAAAAATAATAATTAATCAAGTTTAAATCGATGGATAGCCAGCCCCACCAACCAGGCTCAAATAGGTAGAGTGAGTAGGTCTCGAAACTGGGATATTGCATGATATATTAGATTGTCTAGTTTGATTGGACACTAGTAACTAGTGTGACGTGTCTAGTCCTTTCTTTGGTGCAGACTGAATTTTATGAATCAGTCAGGTTTGCAATCATCACGGTGCACATTGATTTGATGATATTAGATAGTTGGAGGCAATCGGCCACAGGAAGCCTTGAAGGCGTATCTGCAACCTTGAAGGAACTCATGTCCCTTCTGAGATTCGAACCAGCGTCACCCAGTCAGAGACGTTACCACTGATGGCTAGCTACCTAGAATGGTGGCCACATTGCGAACCTGACTGACTCATAGAATTCAGTCTGCACCAAAGAAAGGACTAGATACGTCATATTAGTTACTAGTGTCCAATCAAACTACCCACTACAGTCCTACAGGCGGTCAATCGCGAGCCCGAATAGCTCAGTGGTAACGTCTCTGACTGCAGTCCTCACTGGGTGACGTGGGTTCGAATCTCAGACGTGGGACATGAGTTCCTTCAAGGTTGCTGAGACGCCTTCAAGGCTTCCTGTGGCCGATTGCCTCCAACCATCTAATATTAGATTGTCTAAATTCATAAGTCACCTTTCAACCTTATGTATTGATGCGTCTGATTATTTTAACTCCTTAACATAAGGCGTATTCTTGTTATTGAGTGTTGTTGTGTTTTTCCAAAGTACGAACTTCGGTTATTTTAGGTAATAATAAATGGAGACAGCTGGAAAAGACTGCAGAGAACAGTGCTGCTGAAGCTCCCCCCCCCCGCCTATGTTCCAATCAGAACCCAAAGAGAATAATAATAAGAAATTCGCAAGTCTTCATTGTAGGCTTCGTAATCTTCTAAGAGTTTTTCAGTTCTGCTACTGTCTATTTGACTTCCCCTCCTCAATTGTGTATTATATATACGCTCTAATTAGCCTCAATTAGCTTTTGTGACTTTTTAAAGTGCTATAACATCCCTGAAATTTTGTTTATTCAAGCGTTACACTATGGTTTAAGTGTAATTCTTTTTATATTATGATAACAGACATCAGATGCCTTCCTTAAAGTGTGGGGGGAGAGAATTCTTTTATAGATTTAAATTTTATGGAGCTGTGGCTCATTGATCCTAAGCGTTCGATTGAAACTCCACCCCAGATGCGGCTCATTGCCAACTGTGTTGCTGAGTAACTAACATTCTTCTCATTTTTAATGGATTTTTTTCTTCCTCTTCTTCTTTTCAGCAAATACAAACGGTACAACTGGTCACACTGAAGCCAGTAAGAGTAAAGAAGCTGAACGTGTACGTGCACGAGTTCGACAATTACTGGACGGTTTACACCAGAACAGCAATAGTAATAGTAATAATAATCATCATAATAATAATTCAAAGAATTTATCATCAATTACCTCAAATACGCTTACAGATACTGGGAATAATTCTAATTCTAGTGGTGGTGGTGGCGGTATTTCATCCAACCTTGCCTTGTTCTCTGGTGGTGGTGGTGGTGCTGGAAAGCGACCGCTATTACCACTTGGATCTAAACCTTCAATGAATTTGAATTTAAACACTAGACATTTACAGATGACGCGTCAATTGACAGTGAGTTCTCTCTTTCTTTCTTTCTCTCACTGGTTGAATTGAGAAAATTTTTGTTCTGCTCTGGTGTATTTTTTTTAAATATAGAAAATATCCCCATTTAAACATTTGGAAAACACCTGGATTGAGCGAAGAAATATTTACTTTTCAATTCGATTCTCATCTCTCTCTGGCTCTACTCTAATATATACGCATAGCATTTTTATTACAATACACAACAGTTTACCAATCAAGTGGCACTGATATGTTTGTTAACAATAATTAGTCAGTGTCAACATGTCAATGGGTTGATAATTAACGAAGAAAATCAGTACACACCATTATAAGGTAGAAATGGTTAGAATAAATTAATTTTACAAGGATAACACGTAATTAAAGATGAAGTGGTCAAAATAAATAAAAATAAAATAATTTGGACAATTATAATTTAATAAGTTTAGGAGGAGGGGGGTGACGTAGTCCTGTTTATGCATTCTTGTAACGATGGCCAAGGTAAGGAAAGTGGTTGTACAAATTTCTTTTGAACACCTAGGCTTGGCTTCTTCAGGTGGATTCCTATTGCCTCAGCTGTCTGTAGAAGACGAACTCGTGGAGCAAAATTAAGATTAGTCGGAATGCGATAAATAATTTTAAATGCAGTATTAACATCAACCTTATGCTCAGTATCAACAAGGTGTGCTAAAATAGAACTACGAATAGATCTTGTTTGTCCCTTGCTTAACCATGCTGGATGATGTTCGGAAATACGACGATGAAACTGCCTAATTGACGCTCTATAACCTGAATGGTTTCTTCTTTTGCAAAGCTTTTATTGTCTCTTGACTGCAATTATATGATATAATATATGATGAGTAGTGCTCCTCGGTAGTATAGTAGTGGTGAGTATCTGCGCCTGTCACGTGGAAGGCCCGGGTTCGATTCCCGGTCGAGGAGTTGGCTTTGTGCGCCGGTGGCACAGTGGTTAGGACTCTCGCCGACCATACACATGGTCTGGGCGGGGTTCGATCCCCTGCCGACGCACACCTGATATCTATGGTTGGCCTGCAAAATTTGGGCTACCGATATCCATTCTGAAAATTCCATACTTGTACTGAAAATACGGTGTGGCATCAAGCTGTAATCAAAAATAAAAAATAAAATAATTGAGCTTTGGAAATTATCTATGGTGATGAAATATATATGTGGTGAACCTTGGCCAGTGTGTGTGTGTGTGTGTGTGAGACTGAACATGTTTTCTGAAGATTTTCTCTGGGAACCAAGAAATGCACCATATATATATATATATATATATATATTATAATAGAATTTTTAGAGGAAAATAAATGTAAGCAATCTCATGAAATATAATCTATCTAAGAGATCTTTGACATTACTCCTTAATAGCAAGCTACTAAATAAAATAAATAAATATTTCGTGAAAAGCATTTCCTTCTAACAGTCAACTGTTTCAAACTTTCAAATCTATATTTGCCTTCTCTGGATACTGAAGATGGTTAGGCGTTCGACTGGAAAGCATAAGCAACAAGCAATTCTGACAGGATGCGAACCAGCCTATAACTTATTGCCCAAAGTATATATATGTAAGAGGAAATGAAGATGGACATACGTTGGTGACCATTCGTTGTAGAGACTGTTAAGTGAAATCCCATGCTCCAGCTGTCGAATAGAATCTGAATGACGAAGCCACCAGTTGGACGTGGAGATCACATGAGTAACAAAAATGAAGGCTTATGGTCATTTGTGGAGACAGCTAAAAATGATAGAGGTGAACAAGTTACAAGCCCTGTATTCAACTCGAAACTGAGGGAACGAACCATTAAAATAGGGGGTCCTGACTTTATAGTTTCTGAAGCACTCGTAAATACCAAAACCAACACAATTGATTTCCCATTGACGGCTTACTTCCTTTCTTGATGATGATTTCCCCTATCTAAGTAGGAAGCCGTATATATTGTAATCCTAAAGTTTTGTGTTTCCAAGTAAAACTGTGAAGAGTTTCCACCTGTGGATTGTTTAATTTGCAGACGATGAATTTCATAGTCCTTTCTTTGGTGAAGACTGAATTCTATGAGTCAGTCAGGTTTGCAATGTGGCCACTATGCCACTAAGTAGCTCGCCATCACGGTGCACATTGATTTGATGATATTAGATGGGTGGAGGCAATCGGCCACAGGAAGCCTTGCCTGACCTAGATTTCGTGCTAGTTGGCACTCACCAGTCAGCATGGCGTGTCTACAGCCTTGAAGGAGCTGATGTCCCTTCTGAGATTCGAACTCGTCTCACCCAGTAGTACTGCAGTCAGACTGTTTGAGGCTGAGTCACACCACTCGACAAAACAGCAATTCGATCTTTTAGATCACATTTGTATGAAGAGCAAGCACTACTCGTAACAGCTGCTTTCCATTTTACTATCACAAAATGGGCTGATCCCTTCCGCTTTCTTGTGTGCCTTTTTCAGTGTTAGCGGTGTGAAAACATAAAAAGCTACCTCAGGCAACATTCATGATGTTCATATTCAAGTTACTGAAGCTACCTAGAGAGGTCACTGTATGCTGAAAGATGATCTGATCATTTTAGACGACATGTTACAGATGAAAAGTTGTAATATATTAAATACCAATAGTCTTTGACATGTATTCCGCGTGATAGGATCTGAATTAAATGCCACTCAACAGTCCCTTTGCGAATCCAAACGGATGAAATAGCGTGTGAACCTGTTTTAGGTTACCAGAAACCATGGGGATGCGGCTTCTCGACTGCCTTGTGGTGTGGTTCAGATTTCAAGTCAAAGGCCCGAGTCGGGGGGTGGAGTTGTCCCTCAGGATGATCACATGCCTCGGTCTGGTCGTTCGGGCAGCGCATCTCAGCCTCTGCACAAACTATGAAAATTTGTGTAGCGCATCTATTAGTGCTCATAAATTGTACTACGTTTGTTTTAATTAATAATTTTTAAACAATATCCCCATAGACAGAGAGTCGAAACAGAAACAATATGCTTTTATTAGTGTTCTACTGTGAATTTCACTGTCTTTACGCTTTCTTCTTTGTAGACATCAGATTTAGTTATTGAATCTATCCTCAATTTCGGTACACGTAAAGCTGGTGATTGGTTCAAAGCAGAACTACGTAATGGTGGTGGATTAGATCGAGTAGCAGACGCCGCTTCAGATGCTGTAGATTATTTAGCCGATTTAGATCCAGCCAATAAATCTCAACGCGTAAAGCCAATGTGGCGTTCAACGACAGGGATTGACAATTTTGCTTTGGATAGGCTTAAACGAGTTTGTCATTATACTAGGCTACTAGAAAATGTAAGTTCTCTTTTTTCACCTCAATAGTGTTTTAATAACACTAACATATTGATACCATTTTTATTCTTCTTTAATTTTGAGAAAATGGTATTATGCATAAGCTTTAGGGGTCAGTTACTCATCGATAACATAGGCTGTCGGGTTGTGCTGTATATTTACCGCAGATTGGCAGAGGTTAGAATTCACAGGCCATTGAATCTTTCCCAGTGACTGAATGGTCCTGAAGAGTCCCAGACTGGGACGAAATAACTGCTCAGTAAATACTACCTGGTCTAAGAGGATGTAACAAGATTATGGTACAGGCAAACTATTCAGGTTCTATATTTGTGGAGGAGAAGAAGAATCATCCTAATCCCCAGTTTATCGTTTTTTTGATAACGGAACAGGAAACACCTTTTTATGTGTAAGTTTAACTCCTTTTAAGTCTATGGGTTCATACTGTTGAAGAGTCTCAAAATAGGACGAAACTGATATTCATTCAGTGCACTCTGTGTGTGTGTAAATGATCATAACTTATAGACAATATTTACCCTAAGTAATGATAAGTTGAATATGTCTGTCTGTCTGTATTCGACATAGAACTTTGCATATATGTGCGGCAGTTCAAGTCTCCACACTCCCTCCATGTAGCACACAAAGCCAGAAAAGAAGAAAGTAGGAGAAATGCATATTAGAGACAGAAAGTTGAGGTGTGAGACAAAGGAATAGTAATAACGAAGAACAAAACAGTTTAATTGGAAATCATAAGTCACAAGGAGTGGATGCATCTGCACCAGCTATTGAGAAAGATTTTGAGCCATGTCATCAATTGTTTCCAACCATTGGTTTTTACCGTCCCGAGGACCCCAACCAGGAAGTCTACACCTTCCTACATGGCTTAGACTAACTGTTGTAGATTACATTGACTGGTGACATGTTTTCGTTTGACCGCTACTAGCTCTTTTCCAGCCTGGCCCTATATCAGCTAACATTGCCCACTGTAGGGGAAGGCGATGACTAGGCGGGTATGCGTAACACATGTCTTAACCATCTCAGTCGATGTAATTTCACAGTTCCGTCGACTGATTTCCCCTACTCACCTAGTACTCGACTGATGCCTAACCTCAATATTGCTCACCTTATTATACCACATCACACGGGAGATAGAACGCAGACACCTATGATCAAAGACAGCTTGTCTTTTCATGTTGAATATGGTATAGAAAGATATTAAAATTACAGATAGGAAATGCAGAATGCACCCCCGAAACCCACCGCGAAAGGTGACATGTGACATGTCGTTTATACACTGCTAATGTAATCCACAAAACTAGAAAAGGTTCAGCGTGTACTCTGTGTTTATAGTTGATGTAAGAATGTTGCCATGTTTTATATATATATCCGATTAGATGGTTGGAGGCAATCGGCAGGAAGCCCAGGTGAGCCACCTAGCATGGTGGCCACATTGCAAGTTTGACTGATAGAATTCAGTCTGCAGCGAAGATAGGACTAAACGCATTACACTAGTTAATGACTAGTGTGCAATCAAAATATATGTGTATATCCTAATCACTCATAAGCTAATTGCATTTGCATGCATTTGTTCATGAGTCATAAATATTATTTATAAGAAAGGAAGCTGTAACGACCGAAGATAAGGGCCAGACAACAGATCGTTTATTGAGAAAATCAACAGATTAATATACGTGTAAAACTTGGGCACTGTGGTAGTAAGTAATTCCATATTAGTTTGTTTATCAGGTATATCACACAGTGAAACAGTATTATTTACAGGATGACGTTTCGAACAAAATTTATTGTTCATAATCATATCAATTGTGATCACAAGACTTTGACACTTGAGTTTTATAGCTTTCTTTGTTTTCTCCAATTTGTCGTAGGGGGAGTAGAATTTTCCAGATACCGGGGACAGGTGATGAATCATTCCTATCACATATATTTGCAGTTGATTCGATAAACAAAGCTTCTGTTATCAATCTCTCCCTATATCCTGTGACATTAGATTTTAAAACTGTCATCCTATCCCATCCTATTGTATGGTTGTGTGTGACTGCATGTAGTGCTATAGCTGAACTATTCTCTAGATTTCTTATCTTATTTGGATCAACCAATTTAGATTTTGCTAAGTTTTTATGTTCAGCTAGTCTGACTGCCCCTGTTCTACTAGTTTGACCTATGTATTTGACCTAACAATCATTGCAGGCGGGGTATTAGATAAACTAAATTGTTTTGTTTTAAAGGCTCCACAGGCAAGATCCTTTAACAGACAAAGCTTGTTTCTAATTGAGTTTGTGCATGGTTTGAATGCCAGCCACTTTTATGCCTGCCTGTATTGTTAAGAATTCTGCGTAAGGTGGTTTCCGAGGTTCCTTCCTTGTATGGAATTACTACTGATGATTTAGACTCTTTATTATTGGTGTCGTCATCAATATTATTATTATTATTATTGTCACTATTATCATTATTATTGTTATTATCACTATCGCTATTATCATTATTTATTTTATTTTTACATTTCCTTACATATTTCCTGACTAATTTATCCGGGTAATTATTAAGTTTCAAGGCTTCTTTTATATGTATCAGTTCCTGTTTTAGATTTTCCTTGGTACTACTTAGTTTTTGTGCTCTGTCATTTAAACATTTCACCAATCCTATTTTTACTGACATAGGATGGGTGGGATGATCGGAAGTCCAAGCATCTGTTTGAGTGTGTGGGTTTCCCGTAAACACTACTGTGTTTAACTTCCCATCTTCTTTCCTCTTCACGTTGCAATCTAACGTTGGGAGCTCCCCTTTCTGATTTTCCAATTCATAAGTGAATTGAATTGCTTCAACCTTCGAGTTTGTGTTCGAAAAACCTATCTATATATTGTGTTCTAAGTACAGTGAATGTGTCATCTACGTACCTCCACCGTACTTTTGGGGTGGGGGTGAACGTTTCAATCGCTACGACAAATTGGAGAAAACAAAGAAAGCTATAAAACTCAAGTGTCAAAGTCTTGTGATCACAATTGATATGATTATGAACAATAAATTTTGTTCGAAACGTCATCCTGTAAATAATACTGTTTCACTGTGTGATATACCTGATAAACAAACTAATATGGAAAATAAACAGATATTTATAGATTTTTATGTACAGTACTATTTGTTATTGTTAGCAGAGAAGCAACGTCTTGTGATTGGTTGTTTTCTTGCTGAAGGTTATTTTGTCATCTCTTTGTGGTCGTTTCTTCGACAGTCCGGTAATATATTTGCTAATCGTATCTGCCCACGCCAAATCTACTGTGATTGGTCGTTGAGTTCATGGTGTTAGGCTTTGTTCTTGTTTTTTCTCATGACCCCGATTTGGGACGTAAACATTGACACATAAACTGCTGCCTACCAATTTTGGCTAGCAGACAGCTCTCACCACTATACTACTACTACACAACTGCCGAGACCTTAGTGTTTGTATCGAAGTCCGAATTCTGTGAATCCAATGATTGTTCATCCGGGTGCTTAAACCAGTGATCCACAGTTACACACGAATATGTTTTTCAGTCGTACTGAGAGAGAATCCCCAGTGTTGTTACCATTCTGAAAGACAATATTGTTGTTTTCTTATGTTAAATAGTGTAAAAGGATACACTGTGAGGTTGATATGCGGCTCCATTCCCAGTAGTCCGTGAAGTTTATCCAACCAGTGAGTTATAGATTAACATCCTACTTTATCTATTTCAGCCTAGGTGCAACTGTATAATATCATCCATATTCACATAGATTTGACTCTCATGGCCTAGTACATATAAAAATTCTGCTTCAGTCATCTCCTGAATTATCTGATACACATTAAATCTTTGCTTAAAAATTGGAAAAGTGTCTTATTGTGTACGCTAACAATGCCGCTAGGGATTTTAAAGTACCTGAAGTATTCTTACATTCTTCAAATTCAATAGATCCATCCATTCCATAAATACACCACATTAGATCTACTGAGCACCTATTCCCAGTGAGCTTAACAGTTGAGTAATAGGTTACAGGATTTCATCATGTGCTGACATCAGTTAAAGAACTATTAGAAAACCTGCAGGGAGTACTGGACAGCTGTTTCGTCCTAGTGCAGTGGGTGCGTACTGATGAAGAGTACCAAACTCGGACGAGACAGCTGTCCAGTACTCCCTGCAGGTTTTCCAATGGTTCTCTAACCACTGGTCAGCTCATGATGAAATCCTGTAATTAATCAACCAAATCCGTACAAACCAATACTTGAGTGGAATAATAATTAGGCATCATACAAAAATTAATGAAAGCCAGTAGAGGTTTGATAAGCCACGGGGGGGTTACCAAGTGGTGTCTACTACTCAAACAATTCAATTAGCTTGATGCATTTAACCAATTTATTATCTGTGGATATCGATACAGACTAACTACTTGGTTAGTCAGAATTTTATTAGAGAGACCTTTTTTCCCTAGGTTTAGTCACTTAACAGGATTATGTCATCACCTGCCTACTCTAAATTACTGAGACTTTCTCTTTTGACAAAGAAAAATAAATTGGTGTACTAAATAATGCCTATATATTCTATTCTATTGTAAATATTGTAATGTGAGGATACATTGCCCAGCTTGCTATTATTACTTTTATATTTATTTTGTTATGCATTCATTTTAAAGTTTCATTGATGAAATGACATCTCTATTTTGGCGCTTTTTGAGTGTAGTAAAATCATTTGTTAAGTACATATCGGTTATACGAATCACTTAATAGTAGTGGTTGTAGTAGGGGGTAAGCATAGCCAGCCCACTGGTTGTGCTGGGAAGAAGTTAAAGGTGATCAGATGTCTAAACCTGTCATCAATTCATTCATCAGATCCTTGAATGTGATATAACTCTCAGCTGTTCTCAGTAGTTACAGATGCACATTCATTCCGTGTTATCGCTTAGTTCCATTAAGTCTTTATGTTTTCCTATGCTACTACATTTTTTTTCTCCCACACATTTCTGCTGATTATAGTTTTTTTTTTGTGGAATTTCTTTTCCCTACCTTTTAAGTGTGTGTTACTGGAGAAAGTGATGTGTTTCTGTGCAAAGTTCTACATGTTGAAACTTAATCCGATCATTAAGTAGGGTAGGCCATAGATTCGAATGTCATTCGTGCTATCGAGGTGAGGTTTGAACAACCAGGTAGAACCCATTGGCTCTCAGCCAACTGTATGTGAATACAAGTGGTTAGTGAGCAATATGTCTGCTTCAATATTGTTTAAAGGATATCATCATGAGCTGAAATCAGCCTAGAGAACCATTGGAAAACCTGCAGGGAGTACTGGACAGCCAGCTGTTTCGTCAGCCTAGTTTGGGACTCTTCACCAATACTCCCTGGCAGAAGTTGGAATTCATGCCGTGGCCATTGGATCGGGTCCCAGTGTCTTAATGGTCTAAGAGGTCGCCTCATTTGTAACCAGGAGGTCCTAGGTTCGAACCCTGCTGTGGTGTAGATGCGTACTAATGAAGAGTCCCAAACTAGAATGAAGCAACTGTCCAGTACTCCCTGTAGTTTTTCCAATGGTTCTCTAACTGATGTCAGCTAATGATGAAATTCTGTAACCAATCAATCAAATCCCTACAAACCAATGCTTCAATATTATTGATTAAGTTCCGTGCGAATATGTGACAATCGATGACAATCTCTTATTCCTTTTTATTTTCTTACTATAGATGACTTATATGAACTCTGACAATCAAACGTATTTAGTACATTATCGTGATGGAATTCTTGTGAATCGTTTATTAATATGTTTACGTGTATGTGTCTGTCATCTACCAATAACGACACCGCCATCATCATCAACAGTAGCACCATCAGCGAATCAACAAACTCCTAATACCACTACTACAACTGGTGAAAAATCTACTGTAAATAGTATAAAATCTTTGTCAAATACATCACAAACACCTCAATACGATAATCAGACTATTTTAACTGATTGCATTTTGGGTATATTTCGATTTCTAGTAAATGTTTCACATAACGGTGAGTGAAGTTGGTTGTTATTTTTTGTTTGTCTTTTTCTTTTTGCCTTACTCTCCTCATCTTTCATGCTAGAACTCTACATCGGCATTGATTGTGTTAATAAGATGGTTGTAACAATCGATCGTGTTCCGGAAGGTTCATCAGTGGAATACGCGCCAAACTATACATATCTCTGTGAAGTATAGTAGTTAGCCATCTTGATAGGTAGCACTCGGACGTGATGGTTGGCTTTTCTTTTGTAATGCTTGGAAAAAAATGTTCTCACAAGTTCCCTTACCATTCGAGCTAGATCTGTTGAATAGAAGTTGTCGTAAAAGCAACCACAGTCATAGTGTCGTAGGCTTTTATTTCACTGCGTTTGGGATTAGTGAGGTCTGAGGGCGAAGTTGTTCTTACAACCGACGGAGGTGTATAACAGTTTCCTCAGGATGATCAGCGAACCGGCTATTCTGCCTTTCTACTTTCGGGGAGAGATGGGTCAAGAAAATGTCAACCCGAAAAATTGTATATCTCGACTTTCCCTACAGCAATCTCTGACTGACGATAAGGGCTTCATAGGGGTAAAATTTCAAAAATATCAGGGAGTTTAGATGTGTGTACTTTTGTCTTCGTGTGTATTGTTGTTAATACACCGACCTTATGGTTAATATTCCTCAGTTTGTCAATTTAAAGTTTTCCTATTTATGAAACGGCATTAATCACTATCAACGGGAGAAATTTGAAAGAGGTTACTTCCTGGCTTCATATATCTAGGCAGCCAGCATCGTTTCAACCACAGGCAGCATGAGTGGAGATGTCAAAGCCAGCCAGCCAGAATCGCAAAGCCTTCAGCAATCTGAAACCAGTTTGGAAGTCTTCCACACACTGACTCAGGCAGCATAAACAACAAGATTCGGAAGTCAGTGAGTCACTTCTTCTATCCGGGTTAAAAACCTGACTAGTGTGTTACGAAAAGCATTTCCAACAAGTTACTGCAGACTTTTATCGACAGCTGGCTCCATACTGAAGATCAAATGACCAGCCGGCCGGCGGTCCAGAAAGAATTACCAACAAGAATCTCTGGCGATGAAAAAATCAATAGGCGAGAACCGATTGCTCAACAAATATGTAGGAGAAAATGGAGATAGATGGGTCGGACATACATTGAGGAGGCCGTCAACTGAAATCCGAATGGGAAGCGACGAGTAGGTGGTCGGTGTGAGGGTGATGAGAGATTATGGTCAATCGTGGAGCTAGCCAGCTGAAGAGTACAGCAGTAAATAGAATAAAATGGAGATGTGTTTTTGAAGCCTTATGTTCCACTCAGAACCCAAGGGATGAATAACAACAGTTAAGATCTTCATGATTACGCAAGTGAGGTGGGATGGTAATTTTTTGATAAAAGGAGCCACTACCCCGTTTGTGTGTTACCGGTGTTGGTGGTCCAACGGTAGTATACTTGCCAACCACGATGTCACATGTAGCTCGGGTTCAATTCCTTGCCGACATGCTTCTAAAGCTCGCCTTTACCAGGTAGCGAGCTCAAAACCAGAAGGAAGGCTGAGCTACTGTTAGAATAGCAAACCCCACCCTGCAAAGAAAAATCAATACCGTCCTTATTGACACTTCAAGACCCAAGTTTTAAGTCCTATTATCATTAATAATCATAATTTTGGTACTTCATGGGTACCATCTGATGTGCCACACAAAGTCTCATAGTTTTTGGGACGGCTCAGATACTACGACTCGGACGCCCAGACCGAAACAGGTGTTTATCTGAAGGGGGCCACTCCCCCATCCGAGGCTTTGACTTGAAGTCTGATTCTGACATAAGACAGTGGAGCAGCGTCACAAACTACATTTCCATGGATTCTGGTGACCGAAAACAGGCTCATGCTTCTTTCGAATTCTAGATTTGATGTACACCTTAACTTTGGAATGAGAGTTTTCCACCACCAACACCCCCGCGCCCTTTGGTAGACCAGTTTATAAACCAGTTCGGCTTTAAGTACCAGACGTCCACTTTCACTAAATGGACACAGTGCGTCGGTGGCACAGTGGTTAGGACTCTCGCCAACCATGTACATGGTCCGGGGTTCGATCCGCTGCCGACGCACACCTGATATCTATGGTCGGCCTGCAAAATTTGGGCTACCGATATCCATGCTGAAAATTCTATACCTGTACCGAAAAATACGGCGTGGAATCAAGCTGTAATAAAGAAAAAAAATTAAGCGCTAATGCGAAGATGCTATAAAGGTGCCTAGTCACATTTCGGGTATTTCGTCAGAAGACCACCCATTTGCAGGTGCCGTACGTTCCACCTGGAGAACGCAAAGGATTGAAAGAAAAAAAACTATCAGACAGTCTACCGTTTAGTTAAATTAACATTGTTTCTCAGTAAACATGATCGCTTACCTTCAAAATAACTTTTTCACCTCTGTGCTATTATTATTATTATTCCTTTTTGTTTCCCCTTTTTAGAATTTGCTAGTGAACGACTAGGCGCTTGTACAGGCTTTCTAGAAACAATATTCGATTGTCTACTTAAACTACCAGATCGTTTACCGGCAACAAAACGATTTGATGTACTTGTTCTACTTCTCTGCTTATTGGTAAATATGTGTGAACATTGTCCTGAAAATCGTACACGTATAGTCTATCTGGATATTACAAAATCTTGTGTTAAAAAGTCGAATTCCTCACCGGCGCCACCGCCATCATCTTCCTCGTCAGTATCATCAAATCAAAAGACTGTTGGTAAATACATTGATACATACGATGATGAAGAAGAGGACGAAGAAGAACCAGAAGACGGTGAACAACGTCAGGTTGTCACTTCAACAGCTCTCGATGAATTAATACAGGTTAGTAAAAATGAGCCAAATAGCCTTAAGCTATTGATTACTTCTTAGGTCAACACATAAAGTCAAACGACCTTGAACCAACCAATCAAATCGCTCAGTATCCATTTGTGTAAAGCTGAACGATCTGATTGGTTGATTTTGGTGTCTATTCTTTACTTTTGCCCTTCTTAACATTTCCAATGACCCCGACGAGGCAGACAGTCTATATGCCACCTCCACTACTACATGAATGACTCAAATCAACAATCAAAGAGTTCATCTATTGATGCTAGATTGTGGTTTGGCCACCCCTAACTCTTTTCTATTTCTAATCCTATATGTTAGCCAGTGATGATGTGATCAACGTATTATTATTATCATTATTATTATTATATCCTTTAATTCCTAGAGGAACATAGGGCTTCAGCTGTGCGTCTCCACTGCATTCGGTTTTCTGCTAGAGTCTTCACCTGGCTCCAAGTCATCTCCTCTTCACATGACCTCCTCCAAGTCACCCTCGCACTGACGACCAACTCGCCGCTTCCCTTTCGAATTCCACTCGAGCAATGGTCTCTCTTGTGATGTCACTTGGTGGTTTCCTCAGAGTATGGCCAGCCAATCCATCTCCATTTCTTCCTGCCTATTTGTTTCACAATCGGTTCTTGGTTGGTTCGTTCATTGCCAGAGATCTCTGTTGCTGATCTTTTCTGACCATCTGATCTTGAGTATATATATTTATCATATATATTAGTTGGTATTTGTGATGATGTTAATGATTAAGGGAGAATTTGAGTTTGTGACTGTGTGAAGAAGAGTAGATGGGATACGAAGAGAGAGTAAGAGCAATTAATGCTCATTCCTGTTTGCTTAAGATAGCGCTTAATTGATTATATAAAACAATGATCTAAATATCTTACCACTGGCTCAATTCAAGTGTTCGAGCCCATCTGAAATTATATTCTCCCTAACAGTCTTATAGATGAATTTCAGCTAGACATTGTCAGTCTTTTTGTCACGTTCGAATGAATTGTATTCATTCCTCAGTTATGGTGCTCTTCTAATTTTACGCCGTATGAAGCCTAAGTAGTTCCGGCAGTTAGTACTTACACCAGTATCAAATCACTTCTCCCATATATCTAACCCAGACATAGGACTTCACGAAACACCTCTCCAACAGGCTACTGCAGACTCATATTAGATGGCCAAAAAGCATTAGCAACTAGGGGACCTCTGGCGACGCTAAGGAAACTGTTGACTAGTAGCGACATAATAGTGCAACACCCAGACCTTGGAGTAGGGTGGTAGTGACATTGCTGCAGGGAAAGCGTTATAAGCAGTCGTGGAGTTAATCTCACATTGTCCATGTCCGACTTCCGGCTGACGTTCTTCTTGTACTTCACCAAACCGATAGTAAGCTCAGTCAGTGCAGAGAAAAGCTTTGACACAAGTCGTCTAACGAAATCACTATCACCGTAAGAAAAAAAAGCACCGCCACTATATTTACTGAAAATTCAAAACTTGTAGAGTTAGTTCTATGCTGCACCTGGATGGCAAAGAAATAATGATGTTAAACACATTTTTTAAGTGGCTCACTTCGTAAAAACACATATATCATAAGCACGGACTCCGTGCTGTATTTCTCTTTTCATTGTGCGTAAATGTGTTGTTACGCAATGCACTGCATGTAGATTAAGCTAATGATGACTCCAGGGCTTGTGTGTGTGTATTTGTATTAGTATTTATTTATTTAATTGAATAAAGCGAGAACTACAGTTTTTGCAGAATTAGGTGTTACCACCACTGCTTATTTCGTCGGCTTCTCATCAGCTGCTTGCAGGCCAAAGTCATGATTAACTATGTCTACAAAAACAATTTTAACATACTTACCCACAGAGAGTTCATTTTTGAACAAAAATCAATCAACTAATATATGCATACAGTAATAATATATATAATAATATTAAACACTATTCCGAACAATAATAATCATACACAATGGAAACTTTCGACATTACGCAATCAGATGAAAAGAGAGGTGAAAATATCCAGTTACCAGGCAGAGCAACGAAAGACTGATCGCAACTGCTTCTTTCTGAACGCACAAATCAAGTTTCAGGCGCTTGATAGAGATGGTTTCAGCGAACTTGAGGAGAATTGAACTCTTTTGCCTATTGATAATTTTGAACGATTTTTGCGACGCTTACCTCATGACCTGTGTCAAGGAGATGCCTGGCGATGTCTCTGTTTAAAGTATTTGTTCTCTTTAGACATTGGCTTTTTGGTACATGTTCAGAAAGTCGTAGATATGCCCTTCTTCTTTCTGTTCTTCCAATGTAACTGCTCCCACAGATACATGTAAATTTGTATATACAGTTGGAGTTGTTAACATGAGAAGGATATCTATCGATTTTTGATTACATCAAAGAAGAGCAAGTTGTTCGATAGACGGGAACCAACTTAGCTAGCTACAGGATAGGCTCTGGCTAGTGACGTCCTCAATCTTCTGTTGACAACTGCTGTAATATTTCCACCTTTATAATCAGGTTGAATGTAGATTGGTTTTTTCTCCAATGTGATTTGTTTGACATTTGTGACTTCAAATCTTCCATACTTGTTAATGAATCTTTGAGTATAACCATTGCATTTCAACATCTTTTCAAGAAACATAAATTCTTCCTCTAATTTCTCAATAGAGCATATTCTCCTCGCCCTATTCTGTAGATTTATTTAATAGTGACTTTGACCTGTAAGCAGCTGATGAGAAGCCAACGAAATAAGCAGTGATGGTACCACTTAATTCTGCACAAACCACTGCTGTTCTTGCTTTATTCAAATTCATTTTAAGGGGAATAAATGTCTGAAATTTATTTATTTATTCGACATGAAAGAATTTCAAAAAATATTAACAAAAACAATTATTTACGACACTTTTTTATTTTTTTATTTTAGCTATTTCTAACACGTGAAGAATGTGCACGTAATCATGATTTTGAACGAGATGATGATGAAGCTGTAGCCGCAGAAGCTCGTCGACGTACAGCTGAAGAATCTAAAATTACTGATGGAGATGTTGTTGACAATAAACAATTAGCACTACGTCCTGGTCATCCTAATCCAACTGTTGAAGAAGCTGGTCTAAAATGGCGTCTAATTGAAGATCGAAGAGCTCTTGGTTTAAATAATCGGGGATTTTTAGGTTAGTATATATATATATATATATATATTACTTATCTGTCTTATTGACATGAGAAAAATTGATTGTTTAACTGTGTAGACGTTTCGTGTCTATTGTCAACTTCAAACCCCGATTTAAACAACGTGAGGGTTTTTTATTGATTGGATAATTGCTGTCTACAAACAAGAGTTAGCTAACAGAAATGACGTTGAAACAATTAAGTGATTGTATTTAATTGGTGGATGGTGACTAGCATTGGAATCCAGGATGCGCCTTTCCTCCTATTTGGGACTCGCCAACTGGATGTGCCTGCACTTCCCAGTGAGTGATGATGTTCCCACCATCGAAGGTCGAACCTAATGCCCATAGTTTCAAACGCCAAAGCGTTATCCACTAGACCACTTGGGCCACGAGAGCCACTGCCTCTTGTGCAACGGGTCATATTAATTATTCAATTGAATTTTAGATTTTCCCGTCGATTGATTGAACCGAAGTGGTCGGTCCAGATGACGAGTCCCAAATAGGACGAAATGTGCATCCTGGCTTCATTCCATTGCTAGTCACTATCGACAAATTAAATTCTAATTAAATGCCCAGACATCTTCGAAGTATCTGGACAAGAAGCCGACATGTCAACCTGAGACCGAGCATTTCGGTTCAATCAATCGACGGGAAAATCTAAAATTCAATTAAAATTAAGTGATTGGTTGACTGAGTTTCAGCGTAGAATTTTGCACAGAAGTGCAGCAGCAGTTTCAGTTGCTGCAATACAAAGCTGAAACAACTGAATCGCCAACACACATAGCATGTGAATACCCTTCAAGTTTAGAAACGTATCACATGAAGATTTTGTCCATAGAATAAATATTTTGCATTATTATTATGATTATTACATCATTTTCAAAAGAATGGTTACTGAACAAAGAATAGTCTTTTCAATAACACCCTGTTCATCAGGTTCTACAGTTATATATGTACATAACAGTGAATGAATTAGTTTTATGAACAACGGTAATGTTGTTTAAATAACAGCGAATCAATAATAATAATAACAATATCAATGGATTACAGTTCAATAGCATCAACATAACAATAAACTGAATGTCAGAAAAATTAGGAAAGATAATAATACAAATTCACGAATTGATAGTCTCTACTGAACTGAACTTGCTTCTTTTGCACACAAAGCACTAGTTGTTTCACGCGAATCGCGATATCGGCCTCTGTTGTTTGGAGCATGCGGTACCTCGATGTTTTTTGGCAATTTATTTGGTACCCGGTAGATGATGATAGAGAAGGATTTTTCAATGCTGGTGGCTTTGTGGCTGGCCGGTTTGAACCAGGTGGTGTAATATCGAACTGTTGATGGTTTTCACTACACCTTTACTTAGCCATACTCGAAGATGTTCCCCGACGAGCACGAAAAATGAAGTTTCTAGAGCAACGGTCGATATAACTCGTTCCACCACAAGCAGCGCTGTTGAATTGGCAAATACAATTTGAAGTGGCTAGTCTAGGTACTTCATCTTTCAGTCGAGGTAGCACCATCAGTCATGTAGAGAATAAGACGTGTAGTTCGCCAGAGCATTAAAAGTTCTTTGAAATGATTTTCTTAATTTCCTCGTAATTATCTCACTTGGTATATCGCCCTTGAATTGCAGTCGTATATATAAAGAGGCTTCTTGTTTACAGATAGTGGGTAGTCCTTTTCCGCTTTCTTTGTCATGTGTTTCTTGATAAATTTGTCGGGATAGCTATTTTCAATCAAGGTATCATATACAATGCTTAGTTCATCTTCAATTACTTCTTCTGAGCATATAGCTCTAACTAACTCTGTGGCTGAGGGTCTTTACTAAATTTTTTTTTGTACTTGAGAGGAACGAAGCTGTGAAAATGTGTATATTGTCCTGTTGTTCATGTACTTTTTCTATGCAAATTTCTTTTTATGCTACCATCTGGTTTTCTTGTAAAGAGGACAGACATCCAGGAAGGCAATTAATTCTGTTTTGGGGGATTCCTCTTCGCGTGTGAATTTCATAGCCGAATGTACTTCATTGAATTCCTTAATTATTGTACTCCTATCCGAATCATTATTACAAAGAATGAAGGTGTCATCCATATACCGGCAATAGAATGAGAAGTTTCTGTGATAAGGTTGTTCAAAGATCCATATTTTCTAGTTTACTTAGAAAAAAATTCCAGTGTGTTTACAATCTCCCGAACTTTCCCTCCCCTAACCCATAAATCGATCTTACAAATCAGACTTGGTCATGTTTATTAGAACATAGAAATTCACCTAAATCTGGAGTGTGACTGACCTTTAAAAAAAATGACCCACATAGGCAGTTGCGCACAATTATATAATAGTAGGGAAGGGCAGAACTATAGTTCCAACAAATCACAATAGCAGAATGATGTAACGCTCATACCAGAAAATTGAAAAAAAATACTACTACCATTGAAATCAAAGGATGAGAAATCATGGAAGATATCTGAGTACCTTGCTTTGATATGATTATAAGCAACAACAAGAAATGTCGTCGAAACATCAAATCAAACCATCTGTTCGAATATTCAACAAAAAGTACAAATAATTGTACGCCTCCGTTGTCAATAAGCACACTGGCCTTAAAATTGTGATAGGTTGTCAGTTCTAATCCCCTCTTTCCGGGTTACCTTGAGTATCCAATATGCCGACGTTTCCATTCCTTCCATTGTGAGTAGGAAATAGGGCTTTAACCGCCTTAAAGTTTCAATAGCGTTGGGTTGTGTGCTTTTAGGAAGTGGGTGGGATTTGCTGGCTTCATGGTATTCCCCCTAGAAGACCTGGATTTCGCGAGTGGATAATTTATGTTTGATGTTGCACAAAATCGAAGACTTACAAGCGAAAACCGACAAACTGGTCGAAGAATCAGCCAGAGAAGACAGGACTCCAGGTGAACATAGAAATGACAGAGGTTATGAAAATAACCAACCAACCAAAAACAACAACAGCAGCAACATCCAGTGACAATCACTATCAACGGAAGGGATTTGAAAGAGGTTACTTCATTCACTTATCTAGGGAGCATTGTCTCAACTACACGAGGAAGGGACGAGGATGTCAAATCGAGAATCGGGAAGGCGAGAAACCCATTCATCAACTTGAAACCAATCTAGAAATCTTCGTCACTCAGCCTGCATCAACAACAAAATTCGGATTTTCAATACAAACGTCAAGTCAGTCAGTTCTTGTATACGGATCAGAAACTTGGCCAGTGTCTCACAAAGAATATTTCCAACAGCCTGTCGCAGACCTTTATCAACAACTGTATTCGCTCTATACTACTGAAGATCAGATGGCCGGAAAGAATCACCAACAAAAAACTATGGGAACAAACAAAACAGGAACCAATCGCCCAACAAATATGCAGGAGAAAGAAGTAGAGATGGATAGGACACTCACTGAGGAGGCCGTTGGGTGACATCGCGCGTCAGGCCATCGCTCGAGTGGAATTCGAAAGGGAAGCGGCGATTGGGACGTCAGTGCAAGGGTGACATGGAGGAGATCGTGTGAAGAGGAGTTGAAACAGTATGGACTAAGATGGATGCATGTGAAAAGTACAGCAGAAGACAGAAACAAGTGGAGACGTGTAGTTGAAGCCCTATGTTTCACTAGGAACCCAAGGCAACAATAACAATAATAATGGTAGTCCCCAACTTTCCCTTTTTTTTCCCACCGGGCTCACTACCACCCGCTAGACAGTCAGTCAACACACCAGTACAGTAATAATAATAATAATAATTGTATGTTTTCGTCTCATTTTCCCCTTATCCGTTTTTATTTGCCTTACACCATTAGGAAAAAGTCGAAGACGAATGTTTCATAAAAAGAAGTCTAGAAGTCTTAAAAATAAGAAACGACATAGTGCCAGTGATATTGACGATGATGACGAAGAAGATGAGGATTTCGATGAGATCGATGACAATAGTGAAGAAGAAGAAGAAGACGATGATGAACTGGATGATGATAGCGATGAAGATGACGATGATGATGACGAAAGTGTTGGCAGTGGTGCCGACGTTGAATTTGTTGCTGATACACAAGAAGAACAAGAGAAGCTAGCTAAAAGTATGTCACAAGCTCAACAGCATATGGAAGACTCTGTTGTCGCTGCATATGCCGGTAAGTTCTCTTTTACTTTTTTAGATATAATATGTTGAAATACTGTGTGTAGATGACACCTTACTAAGTACGCCTTTCTTTTCCAAGTCACCTCTTTAAAACTTATGGGTTTTTTTCAATTAGATAAGTGTGAAAAAATGGCTCTTAAGTTTATCACTGAAAGTTAATCTTTCATCTCTTCTCTGTGGCTGTTTCTTGAAGTTCACATTATCTATCTGCAAATTGTATCCGCCTACGCAAAGTCTGCTGTGATTGGTTGTTGAGTCAGCAGTCTTTGTTCTTATTTTACTCATGACCAATATTGGGGACGTAAACATTGACGTAAATTACTGTCTACCAATTTTGGCTAGCAGCCAGCTCTCACCACAATATTACCAGTCGTCACACACACAATGAGTGTGGACCCATAGTCCGATACTTGAAAAATCTGTCGCGGATAACTGAGTAGGTACGAATAACATAATTAGATAAGGCTATGTGTCTATTATCACTGATAATCTTCCTGACTGTGTTCGATCCCATCTTGTGGCAATTTGTGGGGAAGTGAGAAGACGGGCATACGTTGAATTGGTAAGAAGATCCCAGAAGATCTGAATTTCTCAAATAGCCCGTGTGTCATTTCATAGAAACTCAAATGTGTATAAGCGTGGAGGAGGTATTGAAGACAGGATTCCAGGTGATGAACATAGAGGAAGACAGAGATAATGGAGATACTTGACCAACAAAACAGCCCCAGACATGAATCACCATCACTAGGAGAAATTTAAATGGTAGACGTCTGCCACACTTACCTCAACAACATCATTTAAACTCTGGCATGGTGAATGATGTCAAATCAAAACAGGCGTGTTCATTACTCCGGAATCAATGTGGGGAAATTCACAAGCAGGAATAAATGCTTCCATATCCGTTCAGAGACTTGGCGCACTCGTCACTGATTTAAAAGCATTTCCAATAATCTGCGAACTTTTATATCATCAGTTGCTTTCTCTGTATGTGGAAAGTCAGGCAATGAACCGCCAGAAGGAAACGGAGATGAACTGTGGACATGCGCAGTGGAGACTTACAAACGAAACCACACGCCCATACACCAAACCTTTGATTGGAACCCCTCAAATCGGAAATGACACTGTAAGCGTAATATCGCTTGAGATTAAGTCACGCGTAGATAAAGGTTATCCCGGTCCGGAACAAACAAGAAACCGGTCACTGTTTCTACGCGTGACTTAATTTCAGGTGATATTGCGCTTACAGTACATAACGGTTTCAAGAGTACAAAGCACAACGCTTAACAGAAAGCAAGGTACCACTATCAGAGCGTAATAACGTTAAAGCCAAAATTGCGAACTAGCCGGAATCAGACACGACCGTTCAGGTAAGCAGTCAGTAGAAGAATGAACCCAAGTAAGGTAGGGTATAGAACAGAGAGTGGTTAAGAAATAGACAGAGCATAGGCACAAAGATAGAATTTAATTGGCTACTTAACCAGGTAGGCTGATACAGATGAAGATCAATAAATGAGATAAACTCGACAGAATAGTACAAAGTAAGACATGGGTCAGCAAAAATAACAGTTCACAAAATACTCTGATTGGGTCATGAGTTCAATGGTCTGACTAAACGCATCGATGTAGACACGTTAGGCATGGATAATTGGGTTGCAACAACGCTAGGCTGATCCGGGACAGGTTAACTTGATTCAAGGATGTGAAGTGAATTGATCTTACAGACACCCTAAGGTTTCTGGGGGTGGTGATACTGAGGAGGTCACATGAAGACGAAAGCAAAGTTTATGGACAATTGTGAAACCATCCAGATGGAAATAATGTCAGAGAATCGATTAGATTGCTCATACTATTCCACTGAAGCGCCTATATTCCCCATAAGACATACATGGGATGAACATTAGCTTACCTTTAAAAAATAACAAAATTACAATGCCTTAATTGAATTTTGGATTTTTCCGTCGATTGATTGGACCGAAGTGCTCGGTCTCAGGTTGACATGTCGGCTTCTTGAGCAGATGCTTCTACGATGTCTGGGCATTTAATTAGTATTGAATTGGTGGATGGTGACTAGCAGTTTAATTAATGCCGCTATTTTTTTCTTCCTTCCACATATCTATACAGCTCTCCTACTTGGTTGTATCCTACAATCAAGTCCACGTTATACAGATCGTATCAGATCGAAGCTACCAAATGGTCAATTTCGTCCATTGGCCATAATGTTAGCCAAACTACTCAGTTTCTTATCATTGACAAAAGGTGTCGGTTCCTCAGGATCTGAATCAATTCTACGCATTGTACGTATACTAGAAGCTCAGGATAATAATAATGCTGCTGCTAATAATAAATCAGACCTTGTAAAAGTGTCAACATCGAATGGTGTCGTATAGAGAGAAGGCGAACACTTGATGATGGTGATGATGATGATGATGCTTGAACCTCTGTGTAACTCTTTTTTCTAATTTGTTTTGTGTGTGTGTGTGTGGGCGTGTACGTTGTCGTTCGATTTGGTTGTTGTATTTCTAAATTTTGTTGTTCAATCTTTATTTATATATGAACACATAATATGTATGTATGTTGTTTATCCCATTAACCAACCAATCAGTAGAGTTACGTAGGTAGGTATGTGTGTGAATATTGTATGTATGCACGCACACATACACACACAAACACTTGTAGAACCCTTATAGATTTATTGCACATAGCTTCCTTTACCCTGTCCTCCTCTTCGATCCGATCACACACCACGTCCCCGCCTTCTTCTTCTTCAACTGTTTCTATTGTATTCTCTTTGTGTTCTTTTTGTATCAAGATTTTCATTCCATAATGGTTTTACCCTCTTTTTCCCGTTTATATATACATACTAGTAGGGCCTGGCGCGCGTGCATACACTCACACGCAGATGAGTAGCAGTTTTCCATTATCGTGTGGAAAAAAATATGGAATGTACAAATTATAATTGTTTGAAATTTTTAATTCCTTGATGTGTAATGCGCATTATACAGTGCAACCAACAGTAAGTGTAATCTCTCTCTCTTTCTCTATTTCCACCACACACGGCCCTCCGCAATTCTGTGCGTAACTTCACCCTGCTCTGAGAACTACTCACGTAGCCGGCCCAGCCTCCTCCTCGTCTTCTTCTTCCAGCTAACAATCTGATCCCCACCCCACCCTACTCGACACACATATGTTCTCTCTTTCTCTCTCTTTGTCTGTATTATTTATTTATTCATTGATCCATATCAGATTGTGTTTAAATGTACATAGTTTTTAATTTATTTATTTTTCTTTTAAAAATTTAATTTTTCATTTTGTATTTTATTCCCTTACATAATCACAAATGATTTCTTTATTACTAATACTAATACTACTACTATTATTATTATTATTGTCACTATTAGTCATTCTTTATTCTGTGTATTTGAATGGATGGGATATCTATGTCAATGTGTGACACACACATGTATGACTCTCATGTGATTGTGATTCCTACCAGTCTGTCTGTCTATCTATCTATCCGTCTGTCTGTTTGTCTATCTCTTTTATTTTCAATATGATTAGTGTGAATTATTATTATTTGTCTCCCCTGTCAAAGACAACACTCACAGACACTTCTAACTTGTGAAGACGAAGACGAAGAAAGAGAAAATGAACGGAAAGTCACAATCAATTTCCTTTCAATTGTTATTATTCTTATTATTATTACAAATGATTACTAATAATATTAATATTAACATTATTATTATTATTATTACTATTACCTCTCGCTCGCTCGCTCGCTCGCTTAATTATTCAATTTGTACATTATTTGACTCTCTCTCGGGTATATAAATATTATATATACATACGTTTTCGTAAATATATTATATAGTAATATTATGGTACTATTTTTTTTACGAGTTGATCACGGATTGATATCATCAGTTAGAGAACCATTGAAAACCAGCCACAGGGAGTACTGCCAGACAGTTGTTTCATTAGCCTAGTTTGGGAATTATCGGCAGTACGCACCCACACCACGGGGTTCGAACCCAGGACTTTCCGGTTACAAGGCAAGCTGGCTCGTATACCATTCAGCCACTGGGACCCGATTCAATGGCCAGCCCATGAATTCTAACTTCTACTAATTCGTGATGCATTTAGCGCGACCCCAACCATTGTCGTTGGTGGGACATCCATCCTCACACGTGACATCTAATTGAACCTCACTGGTCACGACTTCTCACTAGAACTGCAGGAAACTCCATCCTGTAGCAAGTCACTAGCGAGCATCAGATTATTATTATTATTATTATTATTCCCTTGACTTCCGAGTACAACATAAGGCTTCAACCGGCACACTTCCATGTCATCGTGTTGTTCTCTGGAGGCGTTCTGTATATATCTGGCTCGACAATTGTGCGCATAAGATGTAATTTCCCCCGCCTTCATGTCACCTTTGAAGTGATATCCAACTTTTGAGGGTCAATTAACGGTCTTTTATCAGTCAGTGTACATTCGATTCATCTTCATGTCACCTTCGGCATATTTCTCAGGGGTAATAGGTTCGTTTCCAGGATTCCCCGTTGCTTATCCTTTCTAGCGGTCATCTGACACTTGTTGATGATAGTCTTCAGTAGCCTGTTGGAAATGCTTCTGGGTGATGCTGGCGTGACAAGTCTCTTTCTATCAATATGGAAGCACTGTGATTGACCTGAATCTTGTTCTTTATGCTTTGACTGTAGTAGATTTCCTGTCTGCAGAAAAACATTATCGTTAAAATTGAAGAAAAGTAGAGGAGACCCTACGTAGGATTCTTAATAAAGCAGGAATCAGGGTGGCATTCAAACCTACAAACTCACTCAGCGAGGACAAGCTCTGTAGGCTAAAGGATCCGGTGGACCCAACTAAACAAAATAACATAATTTACAAAATACCTTGCAATCACTGTGATTCAGGTCAACTATATTTTTTTTTAATTTTATTATAGCTTGATTCCACACAGTATTTTGGTACAAGTATGAAATTTTCAGCATGTGATATCGGTAGCCCAAATTTAGCATGCCGACAATAGATATCAGGTGTGCGTCGGCGGGGGATCGAACCTCGGACCATGTGCATGGTCAGCGAGAGTCCTCACCGCTGTGCCACCGACGCACATTAGTGACTAGTGTGACGTGTTTTGTCCCCAAGCTAGGTCAAACTAATAGATCGGGGGTAATCAGATTGTCGGAACATAAGAATTTAGCTAAGATAAGAATGATTGACCCCGAGAAGATGAGTAATTTAGAAAAATAGGACTGTATGCAATAACACATTAGAGTGGGAGAGGGTTAAAATTCTAAAAAGTAATCTACGTAGGTGGAGATAGAGAGAGATTGATTACTGAATCCTGCCTGGTTCATCGAGTGAATCTACACCCAACACATGCAACAGAAATGACTCAATGCAAATACCAGAGATATGTATGGAAGATATTATCACCACCAGTCAGTCAAATCAGAGGAGGATAATAAATAACCTTAAAATTCTATTTCAATTCAAGCACATCACAACATTCTAACAAGTTACTTATTATGACTATAAAAACACTCGTCTTATTTCCCATCTGATTGTAATTGATCAATAACACTAATATTATTATTTTTGAATGTACATTATCATATACTGATCTTTATTCAAATATTTGGTCAATTCCACATATGTAAAATTGTGTGAGTAGTACCTTGATATGATTATGAGCGGCAATAGTTTGTGCTCGAAACGTGGTCATCAGTTAATATTACTGTGTGACTTCTCAAAATAAAATCTTATCCATAATAGGAGTTATACTCTACCACAGTGCCCAAGTTTTATACTTAGACCTTCGAGTTTATTTGACATGATATATACACCACTTATGAAATCTAGGTCTTCTAGAGTTGTTTTTTTGTCGGTTCAATATATATTCTCGTCTTCATACTCAACCAAAATCAGAAAGTGACCAGCTTTGTCTTACCCCTACCTTCACTTTAAACGCTTCTCGGAGTTTTTCGTTGTGATTTACTTACCATCTATGACATGAAAATCTTGTTGTTAAATAAATAAGGTTTGTAGATGTTTGCCTCAAGGATTCGATTGTCCTCAAGTTTTGGTCACGAAATACTGACTTCAATTACTTACAGAGGATGACAACCATTGAAAACCAGAAGGGAGTAACTGAACATTGAATTGTTTCGTCCCCTGAAGCTTGGTGCTCTTCAGTCGTACATACTCTAGTAATAATAAAGAATAATAATAACAACAGGGTTTTTATTCTGGACAGTGTTCATATTTATATGCAGAATTTTCACCGGAATTTCTTGCATAATAGTTCCTTTTCACTCCGGATCTTCAAGTCATGCAGATGATATTGCGGGATGATCAATACAGTACTGTCTGATCTGAAGTGAAAACTGATCACCCTAGTGATATTTCTTCTCTGTCTCCTTTGAGAAATAAATAAATGCACGACATTTGATTGAAAGCTAGTTTTATTAAAAAGTGATCAAACACACTATTTATGTATCTATCTATACAGTTGTTTATATTCTCTAACCAATCAATCACTGACTGAGCATGTGATTTTGATTTACATTACACGACATCAAAAAAGAATGTTCAAATATATGGCATAGTATTCTGTTGCTAATACCGAATTGTGAACTGTGGGAATATGTGAGAATAATATTCTGTTGGCAGACATTGTCTGTACCACACCATCATATTAGTAGTAGATTTTGAAATCCAAGGTCATAACTGAAGACTGTAAGTAGTTAGCTCTATTTCCCAGACAGTGGCAGTTTGTATAATCAATCGTCATGTACATAGGATACATTGGTTTTTTCTCAATTTTAGTAGAAACTTACGAATCAGTAGGGTTGTAGACATTTTAAATACTAGAAAGAGAGTAAACAATATCATTAGATAGAGAACCACTGGGAGTACTGCACAGTTGTTTCGTCTTCGTTTGGGACTCTTCACCAGTACGCACTAACCGCCGGGGTTCGAACTTAGGACCTTCTGGTTACAAGGCGACCTCGTAGACCATTTAGCCACTGGGACCAGATCCAATGGCCAGTCCATGAATTCTAACTTTTGCCAATTCACGACATAGCGTGACCATTTCGCAATGTCTTCTTCGACGAGTTACTGCCTCATCTTCAACCTGAGACATTGAGAAATGGTCGTGAATTGGCAGAAGTTAGAATTCATGAACTGGCCATTGGATCGGGTCCCAGTGGCTCAATAGTCTACGAGGTTGCCTTATAACCAGAAGGTCCTGGGGGTGGGTGATGATGAAGAGTCCCAAACTAGGACGAAACAACTGTCCAGTACTCCCAGGTGGTTTTCCAGTGGTTCTCTAACTGATGTCAGCTCATGATGAAATCCTCCATGCAATCAAACAAAAACCAATACTTGAAAGTATCATTAGAGTTCACACTGTAATAGATTTAAACAAATTAAACAAGAGGATTTCTATGTAATACAGTGATGGATGTTTTTGGGTAGCCCAAGTTTTAGACAGGGTGCGGTGATCTCGTGAGAAGTTATAACTAGCGCGAGGACAGATACTCACCGATGACATTTACTGACGGTCGCTCTACAAAGAAAATATCGAATTAGATGGGTCAAGGAATTCTATCCGAGTCAGTGAACGGTCTACGAGCCTGGCTTTGCAATTGAAAGTCCTTGATGCAAACCATAGTGGTGAATGGGGTTATAGGTGCGCACAGATGAAGCGTCCTGAATAAGAGTGAAACAGCTGTTGAGTACACCCTCATTGTTTGTAGTGGTTTTGTGATTGAATTCGGTTTGTGATCAAACTTGAAGATTATGTTCATCCTGTCAAATGTTGTGAGTTCCTGATTTATCGACTAAGATCATATTAAGACACAATCATCAGGTTTTAATTC